ACTTAATTCTTAAGTTAATACTTAAATGGTTAATTTATAAGTTACCACTTTATTGGAATTACTTTGGTTTTGACTTTTACCCTTGCCTACATGAATGACGAAACACGAATGAATGATGGAGAGTTAGGTTTGGAGGCAACTCCCTTGATAATCTGTCTCCTGCCTACTCTAGGATCATTCACATATGCATTTTTAAAAATTGTTTAATTTAATTTTAATTATTAATTAGTAGATTATTTTCAATGGATAAATTTTGCACTGATTTGCTTATGCTTCTGATTTAAATGATATTGTAGATGAGTTCGAGAATTAATCTTTTACATGTGCATATTTTTAAATTATTTTAAATTATTTTGGCCTTTTTTCCTTTTTTTGAATTAAATTGCTTTTTACTTTTATACGTATTTGTTAAGAATTTAAATTTGTTTAAGATAAGATGTATACTTTCAAAAAGTTATTAATTTAATCTAAATGAATCTGTACACCACAGAGCCGTACCGTTTCTGTGTGAATCAAGCATTTGAAAGTAATGGGGCACATATACTGTATAAATAAGAATTTGGAACGTAATAAAAATGTTTAGGAGAAGCAGTTATGAGATTAGTTTCAGATATTAAAATCTCATGATAAGGCCCTGATGCTTTACGTTCTTTAAAGTGCTTCGTTTTTCTTTAAACTGGACTTTCTTTAAAGTTTTCATTTGATTTCTTTATTGAAATCGGAAATGATTTCAAACTGAAGATGTCAAAAAAGGCTCAATATATCTTAGCATGACGTTATAGTTTTTTTGCTAGACGGGAATTAAAGAAACAGTTTCCTTAGTATACTTTTAACTGAAGAGAAATAGATTATTTGATTTCTTTAATATTAAAAAAATGAAAACAAAATGTGAAATGAAATATGAAAACACGTTAATGCCTTTCATTTTAGAAACTGTGCAGTTAAAACTGAATTTTACTTAAGTTATTTACTTAAGTTAAAATTGAAATTGGCTGTATTTATGAAAATAAAAGTAATTCCACTGCTTAATTTTGCAGGAATAACTTTACAACTTTTGTTAAATTAAAAAATAACGAAAATATAAAACTTCTCCTTTGAAAGAAATATTTGTAATGCAGCGCAATTATACGGAGTTTTCAGAACCTTCGACTGACTCTCCAGGAATTGGCTTTCTGTTATAAAATTTCCAAACAAATTTATTTGCTTATTTAAATGCGGCAAAGACGAATCTGTCCAATAAAAAGAATTCATGAAGTATAGTTACCTTAAATAGTTTTTCTTGCCCTGTTTAGCAAGACTTACTTTTATTCATCAGTGTGCCATAATATACGAATTCCAAGTTATCACGTGAAATTTTTAAATTCCTTTGTGAAAGATTCCTTTCTTAATTTCAAGATTTCAAATACGATTGCAGAAATTAGTATCTTTTCAATGTCTATTTGCAAATACATTAAATAAAACTAATGTGATAATTTAGATAATTAAATTAGACGTAATAGGGTTAGATGTAATTTTAAGTTTATAATCACAAAATAAAGATTATTCAGAAGTCAAACATAAAAAGATAATAAGATCTGTTTGCAGAAGGAAATATATTAATTAAATAAAATTATTATTTCAAATAAAGTATCGGTGAAGCTTAAATTTACATTTCGATTCTAGTAATTTTCATTACATTTATAAAATTGTCTGCAATAGTTTAATTTTCTTAAAATACCATTTAATTTCGGTTTCTTTAAACATGAAGAACTTGTACTTTTAGAAACAATTAATATTAATTTATAACTCTTTTGTCACTTATGAAATTTTAATTTCTTCATATATAAGGAACGGAATGTTTTTCCATATTTTATATTTTTATCGGTTAAATAATTTTTATGTATCTATTTGAAAATTAATACCATAAATATATTCTCTTAATCTATTAAGTAACAAATACTTTTGCACAGGTTTTCATGTTTTCCTTAATATATAAAGTGAATACGAGTTAGTTTCCTTAGAAAGTCTTCCACAAAGTCATCCCTTCTCTTAAGTAGGCAGCCCTCATATGTTTTGCCGTATTCAAATAATTTAACCTAATCTAGGAAATATATTTCTCTAACTATAAATCTCTTAATAAGGAAATTGGGTTACTTTAACAACACAAATATATTATACGTAAAAGTGTGACATAATTTGCGAAAACAAAAGATCTGATATAATAAATTTTTAAACTAATCTCAGAAATTTACATATAGGAAACATGTTGAAAAGTACAGTGTTTTAAATACACCATTTGTAAAGTTATAATACTTATAAAACGTGTTCTATATAACTACAACGTGGTTATGGAAGTATGGCATCATTTATAATGTGGCGTTAAGTACCACCAGTGGAAGTAAGTAATTATTTTGTGAACAATTTCGAAAAATAGCTGAACACGATAAAAGTACTGCAGTAAAATGCATAAAATTAGTTCTTTTTTCACATTATCTTTTAACATTACAAAAAGTGGACTATATCCATCAAATAAACTTGACTCCCTAAACTAAAATTTCTAAGCAGTGAGACAAAAATAAGATGACTTTTGATAATGGCCCTTGCTTCCGCACTCTTTGTAATACAAATAAAAGTTAATCTACTGCCAGTGGTTACGTGAAAATGTAGCACAGACAATGTGTTCGGTGAACAGAACTAAAAAAAATTGTCGCGAAAACCCTTAGACAAACAAACGATATGCAGACAACGAACTCTTTCGTCAGTCTCTCTTAATAATACTAGATACGACAGAATGTGAATCCATTTACCACAGGATATAGTTCAATGATTTCAAAGTACCACATCAATAAAAACACTCTAAAAACTGTTAATATTTTTAATAAAAAAGAAAACTAATGCAAGCTATTAGTATAAAAGAATAATTTATTTAGAAAAGTTTACTGAAACATAGAATTAAATCGAGGAGAGGTTAGTGCGCAAGAATACCTCCCATTAAAGGAGAATTACGTGAACAAGGTCAAGAAAGGTCAGGGTGGGGAAGACTGCGAATTTCTTGTCGTCACATTAAACGTTTGCTGCAACGTGTATGTGACATCCGTACGACATTCACATCCACATCACAATGCGACGTTGTACCGTGGTCACAAATTTAATACGAAGAAACTGCAGCATTGAGAGGTCACTGCAACGTCTGAGCAACTAAGTGTGCTGTATGGGTTTGCATGCTTGCGATCCTAAGTAAGATACAGAAGATGAAGCTTGAAATAACCTAACCCTATATGTATCCTAATGTGCAACAAACAATATGTTAAACAAAAGAGAAGTCCTTGTGACCTATCACCTTATAATGAAGGCCATAATTTGCTGTTGTAAATGTATAGTATGTTGAGTGAAATATTGAAAATATCTGGTTGTAACGAAAGTTTTCCTCCAAAAAACGTTCTTAATAAAGTTTGACAAAAACATGAAAGTAGTACCTTTAGTGCGGGTAGTAATCACCGCCCAAATGTATGATTATTTGCCAATAGTTGGGTATTTTTCAAAACCTTCGGCGCAGAAACTTGGCGGCCGCGAGTCCAGTAACAGATCAATCTCATTTCGGACGTACTGTACAGAATGGAAGGTAGCATCAGCAAGATGCAGCTGCAGGTGTGAAAAAAATGAGTCCGAAGAACCGATGTCGGAGATATACGTTGGGTGTGGCAAAAGATCACATTCGAGTCCGTACAGAGTTTAGCCTCTGAATACAGACACACGTGGTCTTTCATTATCTTGCTGGAACATTACCTTTTTGCACCGGAACTCATTTCGACGATTTTCCTTGATAGCAGCGTCAACGCGGACTAGCACCTCACTGTACACCTTACTGTCAAGGGTTTTACCAATTCCAGATACTCTTTGTGGATAATACCACGACAATTCCATCAGATACAAAGCAAGATCTTTTTGTTCGTGAAATTGCGCTTTGCCACGCTGCTGATGGGCTCACCAGACGCAAACCAACCCTCTTTTCGTCATTTGTTTTTGAAATAAATCCACTTCTCATCACAAGTGATGATCCGGTCTAGAATTTTATCCTTGCGTTGATATTCGAGCAGATTAGTGCAGGCCCGAACATGCCTGTCCTTCTCTGCTTGAGTCAGCTCATGCGGCACCCAGCGATTGAACTTTTATGTCAAGTTTATGCAAGCGTAAAGCGACTAATGGACATGGCACTAACTTCTAACTCCTTAGCAAGTTGTCGAGTGGTTGCATACCGATCTTCTTCCACAAGTTCTCGCAGGCGGCCTCATCAATATCATTAGGCCGTCTAGAGCGGTCTGTTTCATGAATTTCATAGTCCTTCTTTTTGAGCTTTCGGTACCATCAAGAAAACCTTCACAATGCCGTGTGATACAACATTAGTACCTAAAGCTGTATACATGATTTGGTGACATTCCGTAGCTAACGTTTTGCAACAGAACTGGAAGCAAATGATAGTTCTAATCTGGTAGCCTGATAGTTCCATTTCTGGCACCTTTTCTTTAATGATAACGATATTTTTTTACAAATTTCCCAACTCAGTATTCTAAAGGAAGTCTGCTGAGAACGACAGATCTGCAGTTATCACGAGTAGAGCCGGATTTAAACTGGATAAGGTCCTAAGCTGTTTGAGATATGGGGCCCTTTATAAGTCTATTATGCTATATTTTAATACAATATTTTAATTTTGGTGGGGGGCAAGAAATTGGGTCGTAAATCCCGCACTGTTCACGAGAATGGTTTCTTTATCAAGAATAGTTTTCCTGATTTAATCTATGGAAGGAAAGGTGATTCATTCAGGGAAAAAAGTGCTAAACAATTTAGTTACTTATTATTTTTTTTAGCATGAGATAGCACTACATAGGAGCATATATATAGTAATACTATATATATATCTATGCATGGGAAATGGCTGACTATTTATTTATTTGTTTGTTTTAATTTCTTTATTTACTTGCTTAATTTTTTAAAATATTTATTTATGTGCGTAGTTTTGTCTGGCAACATGTTTTCCGCGCGTAATATTTGATTGTTTATTGACGTTTCTGTCAGGTTATTATTTTGAGTACAGAGAGTAATATGAATAACTGTTGTCAGTGTGGTTAAATACTGTTAGGTTACGTAAATAATACCTGCATGACATAGACCATTTTTATAGTTAATATGAACATTTAGTAATGTTGTTAAATTGCTGATGAGTTTTATATAACAGCCAGATTTTAATCATGAACAAACTGTTTTTGATAAGTAAATGTTATTGTTTTTCATTTATCGATTATTCTGTAGCAATTAACGTTGTTTCATTGAGTACTTCGACTTCTTTGCAGTATTATTTTGCATTACACGATCACTAGGAAATAATTTAATTTTCTATATAAGACTGAATTTATTTGAATATTATATTTTGCGTGTATAAGATTTGAAAAACTTAATTCATTTATTTAATGAAATAACTGCAGTGATTTATAGATTTTCAGAGTACATAATTTTGCATGTAAAAAAAACTATGTTACCCAATTTTTTTTTCAACACTACAATTTGTTGCTGTTGTACACTTAATTTTTGATGCATGACAAAAAAAAAAAAAAAATCGAACCTCTGTTTATAATTAAGCATCGGCTGAAAAGCCAATTCAGGTAGTTTTCTCTCTTATATAAAACACTTTAATGAGTGATGTTAGTTTCAGTACTAATTCCTACGATGCAAATTTGTAGATAAAGTATATAATTTTCTTTATCAGCAAAATGCAACATTTCCGTAGAAAGAGTACTATTACAATTCAAAAGTACCAAAAATTTCTACAAATATCAAAATTAAGAATTTACTTTTTTTTCTTTTCTTTCAATTAGCACTTTCTGCTGTTGTGTTTATTAAAATAGAGCTTAAAAAAGCAATTTTCATTTGGTAGCAATGTTTAAAAAGATATAATCCATAGTTTCCTGATTAAACTGAGTACTTATTTTTTCTAATTTTGGAATAAATTCATGTTATTTTTGCTCAACAGTTTCATCTAGCTTATGTATACATGTTAAAATTTTCTCCTCCTTACTACAGCAATATGTGTAAACTGCTGGCATTTTATGGAAATCTTCTTTTCATTATCCATTTCTATGCTACTTGTGGAAGTTTAAGAACATGTTTACATGATGATGTTATTCCTGAAGATCTACCTGCAAGTCTTCATATTATGGAAAGCAGGCGTCAGCGCCATGCCCATGAGACAGTCTATGTGCCACTTCAGATTTCGACATACATGGAGAATATTGATCAAAGTATCTCAGGCAGTGCTCTGTATAACATAGAAATAGCACTAAATAAAGTAATTAAATATGTGTCGGAAGTATTCCAAGGTAATATTTTTTTATGTATTAGTTTGTAAACTTTTACTGCCTTGGGCCTATTTTTTATATATTGTTTTAAAATGTCTGATTTTAGCAACTTTTTATTATATTGAGTTGTGAACATGTTGTGTCTTTAAGAATAGATTTAAAGCAGGTGTTACCTTTAATGAATTCATGATTGTATTCCTGCAGAAATTTTACGATAATTTTAACCGCTGCAGGCAAACCCAGTAGTTTATGTTTTAAAACCGAATATGAGATAAAAAAAATTCTCATAATTTGTCTGTAAAGTGCATTGGAATTTGGAAAACAACAAACATAAAACAGAATGATGACATTATCAGTTAAAACTAAAGTGTTGTGCACGAATATTTAAGCAGCTTCATTTTCTTATGTTATTACTTTCTCTTAAATTTTTAAGAGACATATTTGTACTTATGGATCAATTGAGAAAGACTGGCTGTAATTTGATGCAATTAGTTATTGCTTATTTTGGATGGAAAATGTTTGGCATTGACTTCTGAATTAGCTTTGAAGTTTTTTACCCTAAGCTTCAACATTCTACCATCACACAAATGATGTCTTGCTTCACACTCGTGTTTCTTGTTCTGTCATTTTGAAGAACCCCATTCCATTCAATACTTAGTGTATGAATTCTGAAATGAAATTGAATTTGAATTTTGAGAAGCTTGAAACCGACTTTTTGGAATTCTTCTGTTTTATTGATACTCAGACACTGGAATAAATGCTCATTCCGTTTTTGGTATTATCTTTGATTGTATTTAACAAAGTCATAACATTTCAATCAGGCACTGTAACAAGAAAAATTTCCTTATTTTGGGCAAATGCTGTCAAAAATCGATTAAGAAACAGAACACGACTGACATTATTTTTCTTTCAAGAATAGCTTTTGTCAATTTTTATGATTAAGCTTTCACCACTCATTGGTTTATTTTCATGACTCTGCATCTCATAGATGTGTATTTCTCCCAAATAATTGTTCCAGTTGGGGATACTCAGATAACCGACATTTGGTGAGGTTCCTGAAATCGCATTTGCCAACTTGGACAATAGGTGCCAAACAATTGGAAGAGTGTTTAGGTTGCTAACGAAGATTGGAAAAAGAAAAATGCTATTTTTATACAAGGGATTTATTAAAAATTTATTTAAAATTTTAATTATAGACTTAAATAAATTAACTGCACCTCTAATCAGAATAAAATGATTTCATTTTTATAGAATAAAATATACTCTTTTTGTAATTTACTGCTCGTATTTTCAGATAACTTCTATTTAAAATGAAATTTTTTTAAATTATCTACTTAATATTTAAATATATGAGAGTCTGATCATAACAAACAGGAATTAATTTTTAAATAAATTAATTATACTTCTAATATGAATATATATATATATATATTTAATTTAAGGAAGTCATTTGTTTAATCTAACCAAATGCCTTTTCCCTAATTATATCCATGTATAAATAGAATTAGGATTATTTAGAATATCCAAAGCACTTCCAAGCTCTTTGCTTAAGCAGAGGGAAGTCTGTTAGTTGGGGCTTGACTCCAAGATGAACTAACTACCTGTGCATAACAGTTTTATCATTCGGCCACTGAAAGACACCCTGTATCATAAAAGTAGTTTTTTTACCCTTCATAATCAAATTTATATTCAAATATAATTATTAAAAATGCAACAAAATCATTATCAGACTTTGAAATGCTAATAAGTTAGTATAAAATGTTAAACAAACATTATTCTGCTAATTTTCTACATCATGTATATTTCACAGATTTCTTTATATAGAGGAATTTGTGGATTAAAAGTTAGGTATATCAGTAAGGAATCTAAACTATTAGCCAAAACATGAGCAAAAGTTTCTTTATTTTTTCACAAAAAATAAATAAAAGTTAATTAATGTTGTATCTTCAAATCTTTGAATAAGATTTATATTTATAGATTTTTCTGACCTGTTCATGTTTAATAGTAATGAATGTAAACTCAAACTTCAAATAAGTAAAACATAGAAATCTTTGCATCACTGTATTTGCAACAAATGCATAACTAAAATACATTCATCAGCTGCATGAATTTGCTTCGGGGACACCAGTTTCAAACCACTGTTACAGACAATGTTCAAATTGCACAAAAATAATATTTTTATGATTTAATTTTTTATGGAATAAATACAGACAAATTCAATTAATCTTATCCTATTCTATTTAATTGGTCTTTTTCTGAAATTTAAATTATTGCATAATATCATGAAAACCCATACAAGCACTTGTTACAAATCTTGTAGCCCTGCAGTTATGCAATTCAGGATTACATTTCTTGGTTTACATATGTGAAAACTATTTTTGCACTTAAACAAGAAGAAAAGAATAAAAATAACCCTCTTAACCTTATTAAGCAAAATTATGTGCATAAAAGAATCCAGAATGTCCAATGCAAACTGGACTGGATGAAAATTGAATAGCCTGGAATACATTTCAAGGATGTAATATTGATGTGGAAATACATGCCTATTTTATTTTTTAAAACTTTTATCTTTAACTATGTGATATATATTGCATTTCCATGATCATTACTGCATTTATTTATATTTTCAAACTTATATAACCATTATTATGGATAATTGTTTAAATTAATGGTAAGAATTAAAAGAGAAGTATAAAAGTTAATAATGCTGGAGTTATATAAATCTTAATCTGAAATTTGTTCTATGTGTATGGTTTGCATTCTCAATGCAAACGCTACTCTTTGTCTTATGTGATTTTCGCCCAGCAGAGCTTTTCCCCGATATTGGCTTGAAGAGAAAATTTTTGGAAAGCGTCTTTTGATGCCATTTTCGTTTTTGCGTCAAAAAATTCCTCCAGAGGATATGGCGATTTTTTGCAATTCAAGATGCCAGAAAAAATTTTGCCAAGTGCCGCTTATCTTGGATTTTCCTTCTAGTTTATAGCAGTAGTAACAACCAATTGAATTCTTCCATGCAAAATTTTATTGATATTTCTGTAAACCAGCAGTAAATGAATCTGGTGACAGTAATAAATGGCAATCTACTATTTGCCAACTTGCACCAATTCAAACCATTTGCCGACTTGCACCAATTCTCACCAGTGCAGTGCTTTCTAGCACCTGTGGTTTTAAAATTTCTTTCAGTCATTCATCAACAAGGCCAGTTTTGATGGTCCGCTAAAAATCTTTTAAATTGTTAAATGTTGGAGAACAGGTCTCTTTTCATTGTCACACTGTTAAATGTTAGAAATGAGGCTTTTATTTAATGGGAGTGAGAAGCCATTAGAGTATTGGCTGGAAAGTGACTCTAATTAAATTCAGATAAGTGAACTAATGTTTTGTAACTTGATCCAGTACTTCTTTTTAAATCGATTGCTTTAATTAAAAGTTTCTCAGAAATGTTTTCTACTATATTGAAGAATTATGAGAAAATGTCAAAACTGGTGTTACAGGTTACTCATTGCTGTTCTGTATGTTTAATGCTAATATTTGAATGCATCGTAAATATACCACTTATAAATCTGAAGTGCATATCAGTGTATATTTTAAATAATGCTATTACTAATAATTTGTTAATTTTTATATGGTTTAGTATCTCAAACTAAAAATCCTTTTCTATTGAATCGAAATAATTGTGTTCAACGATGGAAAAGTGGAGTGCATAAAAATAAGTATGTATATAGTATATTATAATTCAGTGCTTCTTTATTATAGTGGCCCCCCCAAGATTGAATCGCTAATCAACTGAGATATCTCACCAGCTCGTGAAGTGCAAAGATAAAAATAAATGGCACAATGGTACAATAATAACAATAATATTCACATAATGTTTCCTAAGAATACTTTTAATAATCGTTATGACAAGGCCATATTTCAAAATTGCTTTCAGCAATTCATCAAAGACATAATTTTTTCTGCATAAATTTTGAAGGATATGATTTGAAGCAATGTCAAGCCATGCTCTTTTTATTATTATTATTATTATTATTTAGTACAAATGGGCTTTGTCCCTGAAGGACTATTGGTTTCGTTTTGCGATATTGCGTTGAAAAACTATAAATTTCCGTTTCAATTTTCAAACGAGTCCTGCATTATATTTGAAGAAATTAAATAACGAAAAATCTGTATAAATGTATGTATATTTCTCGCATTGTGATAAAACAACGGTACATAGAGCCATCGAATTTTGAATGACGTAATCCTCCTACAAATATGGGCATGTGGAAGACCAAATTTGGAATTTGTTTTATTATCGATTTCAAATTTTCTAAAACCTTAATGAATTTTTGAGTAACAAACTCAACAATTTAAAAGTGAGCAATGGCAACGCTCTATGAGGGAGGAAGACCCTTTTTATCTCCAGCGCGCAGAACTGTGTATCGGAAATTGTAAAGATATGCTCATTTTAAATTATTTTGCGACATTGCTATTAAACTGAATTTTGTGGTTTAAGTGCAAAGAACATGATATTTAATAAATAAAGGTAACCATAAATGTTAAAAAATGCCCCTTTGACAAATTTAAGATCTAACTTTCAGTTTTTTTTTTTTTTTTATTATTATTATTATGAACCCACTTTGCTATACCCTACATTCTTTCCACATTTTGGGTATGAACACTTGTTGTGGGATCTACAAAATTATACTTATGTTTCACAGTAAAGTGACAGTAACCAGCTTCTTCAAGTTGCTCCAATTTATATCCCTTCCAGCAGTCTGAATCTATTCGAGATTTAAACGGAAAAGTGCTCATAATCTTCCTGGCATGTTCCTCCAAAAATCCACTGCTGTGGGAGTACTCTGCCACCATAGTTCTTACATCGGATGAACAAACTCCTCATTTTTAACTATCGTATTGGAACCATTCGAGTCACCCATTGAATCTTTGCATCAGACATAGGGAACACATTTCCTGCATAAAATTGTTCCAGTCAGTCGCATTATTTTCACACATATTAAGCTGTTTGTCACACCATTTGATGGATGTCAGCTTGTCTGCCTGAGAATACATAAATCTAGTAACAGTTGCAAATGACATTCTTGAACCACTGAACCAATTTTCAACGTGGAGGCACTTCTCTCTTTTACAGTTTTTAACATTGCACCTCCAAATGGTTTCTTTCTTAACATATAGTTTTATGTTGTGGTCATTTTCACATACTTGCTTGTCAGGTAAAAGACCTCTTTCTTGAAACAATGGTATGGCATCCAACTCTTTATTTGATAAATTAAAGATTGTTGATTGCATATTAACAAAATTATAATTCAGCACACACACACCACACAGAGGGGGAAAAAAAAAAAAAAAAGAAGGAAAGAAAGAAAGAAAAAAGAAAAGAAAATTCACAAAAAAGATATAAAATCTAATGTGAATTGGAAAACCTTTATAAAAATGAAACACAATGTTAATATGAGAACACATGGGAAGATATCTCAGTTGATTAGTGATTTAATCTTGGGGGCTCTTACAACAAGGACGTACACTGCAAAAAAAATAAATAAATAAATAAAATGGGACAGTTCTGTATCTCTTGTTCTACTATGTCGATTGACAAAATTCAAACTGCATTTTTAACATCTCGAAAGCATGACTTGGGATATATATTAGATTTATATATATCGTTGTTCTAACATAGGTATTTTGATACAAAATTGGATTTTTGCTGAAATAATATACCAATTTTTTTCCATATTTCAATTCTACGACTCATATTATGCCTAATTTTGTCAAATTTGGTGCGAAATTTACGGAGAAATTCAACAATTTACATTGGCTCAATTTTTTTTCAGTTTGCACCAAGAATAATTCACTTGGCGAACTTTTTAATATATGGCAACCTATTTTCCGTACCCTTCCATTATGGCAGAATGAAAAAAAAGGCACCTTGATCCTATTGTTTTACATTGTAGATAAACGGGCAAAAACGTCACATCGTTCTTACTTTCTAATAATCTTAACAACATGCGTAAACCACATTTTCGTTATTATCGCTTTCAACAAATATGCCAAATTTTAAAATGCGCCAATATATAAATTCACATATATCTTCAGAAATTTTGAATAAAAAGCTCTAATTTTTTGCAGGTATGCTTAGAAATACACCTACTTTAAGATGATTGTAGAAAGTTTATGGGTTATAATTTAAATTTGTTTCGAAAAATTTTAAAAAGATATTTAAAAATAAATCTTAAAAATAGGTGAATTTTATTTGGAATGAATCTAAATTTCAAACTGTGTAAGAAGGAATCAAATAAGTTTAATAAAAAAAGAGATATTAATGAATACATATCAAATTGAATTAACATCGAGGAGCTAAAATTTTGAAAGCTAATTTTTTAAAAACTACTCGTGCGATTCTTACAAAACTTGGTAGTTTGGTTTAATTTGATTCATAGAATCGAAATATGGAAAATTGGCATGTCGTTTTAGAAAAAGTCCAATTGTGTGTCAAAATACCTATGTTAGAACAGTGCTATATATAAATCTATTACATATCTTAAATCACGCTTTTGAGACATGAACAATTTATTTCGTCAATCGGCCCAGTAGAACAGGAGATATGGAACTGTCTCTTTTTTTTTTTTTTTTTAGCGCAGTGTACCTATAATTCTTTATATATACAGTCAACTCTTTATTAACTGGGCTTTCCCCCCAAAAAGCTAAGTTTGTTTATTCCAGAATGAGGAAAAAATTATTAAAAACCAATAAAATAAAATTTATTATTTAGGAACTGTTTTTATCCATAGCAGTATGTAATTTAATTCTACATAATCTTAAAAATAATTGTTAAATCATTCATTGAAAATAATTTGCAAAAAAAAATCTTGATTATAAAAGTAATTGTTAAGTTATCCATTAAAAATAATTTTCAAAATCATACAATTCATTTGCACTTATTAAACTTCTATTTCCTATTATTGATTCGAACTGAAATATAAGAATAATATATGGATTTAATGCTATTTTTTTTCTTTTGAATTTAATTTATATATGCTGATTTAATTTATATAATAAAGTGAACTTATTCACCAAATTAACCTACATAAAAACCTGATAAATTGATAATAGTATTTTCTGTTAATTATCTATAAGTTTTTCTTTCGGTTTTTATTTATTTATTTATTTTTTATTATTTATTTATTTTTTATTTTATACTGGTGTTAAATCAACCAGGATTTTGTGTTAACATGGACATTGTGCCCAGTATTACCATGGTTAATCGGGAGTCTGTTGTATATAAAAAATCATATATCCTTTAATATAAATCATGCTTTTATATTTGTTTCTATAAAGATATTGGTTAAATTCCTTATGGAAGAACATGCAGATAAATAATTCACTCTTCCCAATAAATAATTATGAGAAAAGTAATATTTAAAAAAAAATTCTCATGAAACTCTGAATACCCTTCTGTGACAGCATACCACTTTGCTTGGTCTTTCTTCTTTTATCAAAGAGGCTGTAAAAAATTAGCCAGTTTTGATATTTCTTCAACTTATTTCTGTATGGACGAATTAGACATTCTTATGTTACCCAATAAATAAATGTCTGCATAAATTACTCATGAATATTGCTTATGTACATTCTGCTGTTCTTCTATAAAAGTATGTAATACTGCAATAAACAAAAATTCACCTGTGTTAAGCCCATGAATATTTGTGACTCATTTGAATAATATTCTCTTCACCATTTTTGTGATGTTTATGTTTTGTTGCTTATGTTTGATCTCTGTCTTTTTTTACCTGTAAAAAATATTGCTTTTAAACAGATGTGCAAGAATTAAAGCAGGGCCTGAATTTTGTTCAATTAAAGATACAAGTTTTGCAGTAAGTATAGGCTATTAAATCACCAGTTATCACATTTTGCAGCAGTTATACACTATTATTGATTTACCAGTTAACATTTTACCTTCTGCTAAATAAGGTATCAAAATCCTATTTTCTTTATTTCTTCTTAGATACCAAACAGATTTCTAAATCAATTAAATGTTTATGATTTTTCCGATCCTGTGCCACGTTCTGTCTTTCCAGCTGGCCCTGGAATCAAAAATGCCAATTTTATCCTTTGTGTCTCTAGTAGACCTACCTCTTGGTGTGAAGAGCATGTAAGTTTCGTTTTCTCTTCTCAGTTTTGTAACATAAACTGCTGGCCATCCAAAATATAAATTCATAAAGAGAAAGAGTAATCAAAGCATATACTGGACAAATAATCTAAAACACAAAGATAAACTGATTAAAAATCTGGCCCTGCTTGACTTGCAGAATACAAAGAACTCTGTATTTTGTGCAGCCACTGTGGCTGGCAATAATTGGAAAGAGTATGAATATGTCAAGTCATGTTTCTGCACATTGCATAAGCTCATCTGACATAGTTATGGGTGATGTATGATGTTATTTGTGAGTAATCAACCAGATGTGTTTGATGGGCAACATATCAAGAGAATGGGTTGGCAAGTAAGTAGTGTTATGTGCTGGGCAATGAAGAGATGTTGAGTATTGCATGTCAAATGCAATTGTGTACTCTTAGCAGGGCATAATCAGTGGATGCTGCAGTAAAATCCATTGGTGCCCTAAACCATTGGATGATGCTTAACTCAGTAGTCATTATGGCTATCATCTCAATCCCAACAGACTTAAATGTGATCATCATGGTGTAATAGGCAGAACTGAGATTCATCTAAAAAAGAGTATGTTATGCTAATTTATTTATCCATGTCTGCATTCAGCACATTACTGTGGCTGCAGGAAACTGTGATGTACAGAGAGCAGTTAGTTGCAGCAGTAGGTGCTTTGCAAAGATTTCCTTCATCTGCAGATTCAAAACAACACATGCTGATGCAGATTGTTGTGTAACAGATCCTAATTCTTGTGGTAGTGCTTCTTTTGTTGCTGTGCAACCCATTATTGCTGTGTGCACTATATAACCTGTCCTGTTGTTTCGGTGCTATGCTGAAGTTGCTGCAATTGTATGTATCGGTTTGTCCCTCCAGCTTCCAGTAATTCAATATTTTCATTATCAAAGCTTGATTTTATGAAACATGACCACCAGTTTTTTGGAAGGATAATTTATAATCTCTAAAAGCAGTAATTGTTCCATTGGCAAACTCAAAAATTAGCTTAAATCAGTGCCCCCCCTTTTTTTTTTTTTGCATAATAATTAATGCACGCAGAAGCTTTACGCACAAAGGAATAGCAAGAAAACATTTTGTATATGTGTTGCAATGCTAATAATTTGCATGTTCTATCGAGGTTACACATAATGCAAATTTTCAGCTTATTCGATGCTTCCTTTGTGATGTTGCTTTTTGGATGTCCAATGATATAATATGGCTTTTTTGCTGAAGTTGTGTAAAACTTTTTTCATACCTGTTGCAAGTCATTACAATATTTCAATATACTCTGTGAGCAAAATTAGCCAACATTAAACTGGTTGCTTCTGTATATTATGTTTAATATTTAAGTTAAGGATTTCTAACTTATCTAATTCTGTATAATGCATACTTATCTTATCAATAAGGTACTTTTTCGTTAACTAGGAACCACTTGTGTCAAACATAAATGTTCATGCAAAATTTAGCCTTAAGTATTGAACAGCAACTTTGGTCATGCACTCAAGATGCATCATTGCTTGAAAATATAATAATTTATTCATCACAATTGTTGAAATTCTGATTATCTGTATTCCTGCTGCTAAAAAAATTCCCAAAATGTATTCGTAGGCAAAATAGTTACGTAGCAACCTCGTTTCCAAGCTCCTTTTTTTATTTATTGATTGATTGCTCTTTTAATAGAATTCTTAGTGTGGTGCCATTTTGCCATTTGCACATTAGCTTGGCAGAAGAGATTTTTTCAGTAACGTCTGTACATACCATACGTGTGTATGTATGTATGTATGTATCTTGCATACTCAAAAACAAGTAGCCTCAGAACATTGAAATTTTATATAAGGGCTGCTATAACATATAGTTGTGCACCTCCCTTTTTTGGTTGCAATTGGCTGCACCGAAAGTATATAAATACAGTGGAACCTCGAGATACAAGGAAAGTATGAGCAAAAAATTCGTCTCTAAATATGAGCATGGCAACGAGCAATGAGCCAGGCTGTTGGTATGCATGGCGCTATTTCCCTATCCGGCTCGACTCAGGGAATCCCCTCATCAGATCACTCGGTGTTCTTTGATCTACGTGTTTGTGTGCTTGTGAGATAATTGTTTTTTACATTTAATGTGAACAACGATTTCACTCCCAAGAAGATTGTTGTCTCAGATAGTGCTGCAACTAAAAATAAGGAAGCCATTGGCATTAAAATTAAGAAAGAAATCATAAACATCAGCGTGGTGTAAGAGTGTCAGAATTGATGAAGACTTATATCGATGATCTGCACTATTCTGAAGAAGAAGAAAGAAACTTGATGTGGCCAAAGGAGTTACCGTTACCTCCAAGCACTGTCCCAGACTCCTAGATGTTGAGACACTGCTGTTGTATGGATTAACGAGAAACAGTTAAACAGCAATTCGATGTCGAAAGCTATCATTTGCGCTAAGGCTAAGAATCTGTACTTGGATCTTCTCTGAAAAACACCAAATATTATTTATCAGTATTATTTTTTAAGAACATTGATATATATGCTGATATTTTTGGGGGTGCGGAATGAATTAACTGGATTTCCATTATTTTCAATCAGGAAGTTTGTTTCTAGATACGAGAAATTCGTTGTATGAGCTCAATGATGCAGCAAAATAAATTCATATCTCGAGGTTCCACTGTATTTACTGATTGCACAGCAAAACAACTTCACAAAAAGATCAAGAATCTCATCTCTGCATATTTCAACATTCATAGTTGCACAAGTAAAAGTGTGTAGGCCAATGTGGCCGTTTGAAGTCAGACATGCTCATACAGTGATTCCACCAACTTTGTACCCATCCTTCTACAGATATGTTCAGATTTATTGTGTATGTTTTGCTTGCTCTAGATATGTCTTGAGAGAAAAAACGAGGATCGCCAAAAAAGAGTGGTACTTCAGTCATCACTGTAACCAGGCGTATTTTGCTGCCTGAGTTAGTTGGACAAACATTATGTTTTTTCTTTTATTTACAGCCGTATATTTAGCTCTTTTATATACAGGGTTTAGATTATTAAGTTCCCACAGCTTCAGCAACCACCCCTTGGAATCTGGGCTTATATCAGATGTTTATTACTTCCTTGTACGAAGTAAAGGAAGTATTTTAATCACGGAAAATGTTGAGTATCATATTTCAATGAAAATATCCACTTTGACAGCTCACGAATTCATTTGAATGATATTTTTGCGTGACATCTGTACATAAGGACTGAATAAAGGGCTATTAAAAAAATGGATTTGAAAAGGTTTGAAAGGAGATTTTTTTCGTGACACCCGTATGTATGTAACTCACGTATATATGTAACAAAAACAAGTAGCCGTAGAGCATTCAAATTTTGTATATGGTACTGCTATAACATGGTTGTGCACTTTCCTTTTTCATTGCAATCGGCTACACCAAATATACACACACTATCTCTCTCTCAATATATATATTGCTACTCTGTTACCCGGCATGATGAGGTCATTTTTTTTCTTATATATTGGTAAATTGTGCGTCTTTTGCTTTAAACCTGATTGAATTATGTTTTCTTATGTTCCAGTTATGGTTTTTATGCCTTTAGTTAACATGAATGCAGTAGTTGTAGAATTATCAACAGTTTAAAAATTTAAGTGGCGCTAAAAAAGTTGCTAAGCGTAACGACACCACAATTTGTTTACATTTGAAACTCTTAGTATAATAGTGAATTAAGTCAGTATTGGTGCATCAGCTTCAATGTCTTTGTGCCAAGTGTGCCCAAAAGTTAATATTCAAACTTTAGATTTTGCACACCAAAAATTTTGTCTTCTTGCCTGCTGGCCGAATTACTTGTTTTTGCGTAGACATTTTAATTTTAATAGTAAAAATTGTTCATTTAATTGATTTTAACTGTATCTGATGTTTTAGGTTTTTCTGCATTTTATAGTTTTTAATGAAAATTGAATTTTTATATATTTTTGTCTTTCTGTGAAGTAAGAACTGAACTGACTGACTGAGAAATATATCTCTTATGAAATTCGAGGAAATAAATTTAAATGAAATGCACCGACTCGAGTAACAAGCAACGAGCCAGGCTTTTGGTATGCGTGGCACGTTTCCTGATCCTGCTCAACTCGGCGAATCCCCTCGTCAGATCACTCGGTGTTCTTTGATCTATGTGTTTGTGCGCTTGTGAGTTGTTTTTTACATTTAACATGATAATAATTATTTCACGATGCCTCCGAAGAAGATTGTTGCTTCAGATAGTGCTGCAACAAAAAATAAGGAAGCCATGGCCGTTGAAATTAAGAAAAAATCATAAATATAAGTGTGGTGTAAGAGTGACGGAATTGGCAAAGACTTACTGCCATTCGACATCGACGATCTGCACTGTTCTGAAGAAGGAAGAAATTAAGAAATTTGATGTGCCAAAGGAGTTACCATTACTTTTAAGCACTTCCCAAAATTCTTAGAAGATACTGAGAATTTGTTGTTGGTGTGGATTAACAAGAAGCAGTTAAAAGGCAATTCAGTGTCGGAAGCTATCATTTGTGCTAAGGCTAAGAATCTGTACTTGGAGCTTCTCCGAAAAACACCTGGTCGGTCGACTGAAGATGAGATGGCATTTCAGGGAAGCCGTGGATGGTTCGAAAAAAATTAAAAAGAGAATCGGTCTTCTTTTTTCTTCTTTCCCACATCCCCATCGTTAGTCAGGACTCTTCATAAAGGTAAACTATAGTTATGTTATTTACCAGTGTTATTTATTAGGAAAATTGATTTTTATATTGATATTTTTGAGGATGCAGAACAGATTAACAGGATTTCCATTATTTTCAATGGAGAAGTTTGTTTCTAAATACGAGAAATTCGTTATGCGAGCTCAATTCTGGAAGGAATTAAACTTGTATCTCGAGGTTCCACTGAGTGTATACCCGCTGTATTATTTGACTCCGCGAGCTCAGTTTTTTTATTCTTATGTGTTGGCAAATTGTGTATTTTTTGCTTTCAAAATTATTGACTTATGTTGTTCTTATCTTCCGGTTAAGGTTTTTTTGCCTTTACATAATTTATATGTAATAGTTGTAGAATTATCAACAATTTAAAAGTTATTCTAGTGCGGCTAAGACTATTTTCTTTTTACCATTGCAGCCACATTTGTTTACATTTGGAACTTAGCACAATAGTGAATTAAATCAGTTTCTGCACCTTCAGTGTCTTTTTGCAAAGTTGGACCAAAAGAAAACTTTCAGTTTTGTGCGCTGAGATATCTGTCTTCTTGCCCACTGGCCAGATTGATTGTATCTGCATAGAATATCTAATTTTTTTAATTGTTTTAACTGCATTTGGTGGTAAGATAGATAGATATTTTGAGGTTTTATGTATTTTTGCCTTGCCCCAAAATGAGAACTGAATTAATTAAATGAGAAATATATCTCTAATGAAATAAGTTTAAATGAAATGCAGCAAAAAATGTGTATAATTTAATATTCTATAAAAGGAAGTCATGTGGTGTACACATCAGATTTTTCACATTGCATTTCTGTAAAATTTGGTCATTTAAGAAGTTCAGTTTCATAGAGTGCGAGTTTTTGCATTTTCTATTTTTGGACAAAATGCCATTCTTGTAATCCAGCTGTTTCTTATTCATCAACCAACAAATTCCAGAGATCCATTATGATTCATTACAAGGAAAACAAATGTACTCAATTGTGAAAAGAAGAACTAATCAGAAAACTGATGACTGAATTTCAAAACTTGAAATCCATATATAACTTGTAGACAGCATGTAGCCCTCGGCAACAACAGCATCTAGGAAACTCATTTCCTCATTGTTTCCTTTAGAACAATTTCAGCAAAATTCTGCATAAATTTTACTGTAATTTCTTCCACTGATGGCAAATTTCGAAAGCTCATATTTTAAAACTAAGTTTAAAGTGAAAATAACAGTTTGTTTGGAAAAAAAAAAAAAAAAAAACATTAAACTTAGAATATGACAAACAAAAGAACAGATAGGAAAATGGCAGCATTGCTTGACTGAAGGATTATTATGAGCATGGTTATCTGGAAGACTGGTTATGCACATGGTTTCCAGAATTCAGCACATTCTGAAAACTTGGTGACTTCTATTTAAAGTAGTTGCATTAATATGTAAGTACCATTTTTATTTTCCATACATCCTTCCAAACAGACAATTTCCAAAGTATTGTGGTTTGATATGATATATGACATGTAATTTGTCTTTTAAATTTTAATTTATTGCTGAACAAATTTTTCAGTTTAATGATAATAAATGCCCTTCTTAATAATATAAGTCTTCCCTTTAATTAATAATATATCTAATAAGTATAATTTAAAATAAATAATTTAATTTTCTATATATCACATTTATAATTTGCATAAAAATTTGTAGCATTATTACTATTAATATATGAGGTTTCCGATACCCTATATTTCCGGATACAAATATGTCTTGCATTCCCCTGCCTTTTTTTAAATTAGCATTTGGATTTAAATAATTTGTTTTCATAATCTTAATGTAAATCACACTGGTGAATTTATATACTGTATTCATGCCATTGCAAATTTAGAAATGACTTTTTTTCTTTTTCCATTGTTCTACAGGATGTTGAAGCTTATGGATCATACTGTAGACTTGGTGCTAACAACAGACCAGTTGCTGGACTCTTAAATATATGCCCAGGCTATCATAGCAAGAAATTATATACATCAAAACATTATTTTAATGTGAGTTTTTTTAAAATTATTTCCAGATAGTTTAAAAAAAGTTTAATTTTCTTAGTTTTAGGTTTAAAAAAGTTCTGTTTAGGCTTAAAAAAGTTTGTCCTAAAAAATTTATATCTCAGTTTTAAGGTTATGCAAGAAATTCATAAAGGTCTGCCATATTTTTCTAATCATTGAATTAATTTGATTTCCGTTTGTTTAACCTAAGTAACCTGTTATAGTATTAAGCGATCAATCATTAAATTTGATATATTTTCTTATTGATAAAGCCATTTCATTTTGGGGGATAATTATTACATTATTACAATAGTTCAAAATCATTTATTCATATTTTTACTAAAAGTTACTGTAGAAGTACATTTAATGTTTATTTATTTTTAATGATTGAAGTAATATATAGTAATGAATATATTTTAATGATTTAAATTTTTAGAAATTATACAGGTAATGTTCACTTAATGAACAAACATGAAAGGCAGAAACACTGTTCAGTGTTTGCTTTATGCAGTGACTGCAGAAAAGTAACCCTTTAATTAAGAAATGACATTCAAATAAAAAATATTTTGCAGAATATTTTGAACGAAAAGAGAAATGAAAGAAATGCTTGCCAAGAACTATATAATTAAAAAAAGGGATTACATGATGAGATTATTAGTAACTGTTTTTCTTTCTTTCTTTTTTTTTTTTTTTTTTTTTTTTCAAACTCTTCACGTAACATGGAGCAGTTGATGAACTTTGATTTTTAACTTGGTCTGTCAGATTCTACATAGCACTTACGTTATTTCTGTTTACATGGTCTGCATCATATACTTTTTTTTGTGAGTGTGTGTGTGTGTAAGTTTAAAGAACTGTTTAGTATAATTTGATAAGTTTTCTGTCAAGATCTGGAAATGATCGAAGACTTATCACACATAGATTAATGATAATTGCTTCTTTGCTTTGCACAATTTGGACTCAGGAAAAGTTTTGCAGAAATTCTGTATTTTCACTGAGTTGAGGATACCTGTAGTGGCATTTTTAATTCCCGCTGTCCATTGGCGGGTACTTAGCCAACTTAGGCTTGGCCACTACTAAGGCCAGAAGTGACCGCCACTTTATTGTGAAAGCACCTAATAGGTGGGCCACCCTTACCTCCTATGAAGGGATAGACAGTTACAGCCATACCTTCTCCGGGATTCGAACTCGGACCCTTCAGTATTGCAGTAGGCTTCCCTAACCACTATACAGTCCGGGCAAGAGCATTGCCCATTTTTCACGTTTGCCGACATTTTTAATAAATCAGTGCATTTAACAGCTATGATATACTAATTTATTAGTCAAACAACAAAAATCAGCATTATAACGCTGATTTTTGTTAAGAGATTATATAATGCTGATTTTTGTTGTTTGACTTTTAAATTAATACTTAATCGGTGTGTTATTTTATCTATGATATATTCATTGTTATAAAATTGAGTGTAAAATAATGTGTTCAATCATGTTTTTGTTTAAAAATTCTGTAAATGGATATAGTTTTTTAAATTATAGACAACATGACAAATGACATAATGTTGCCACCATTATGAAGAGCACCATCTAATTAGGATAGCACATTTCATGAACTTTACTGAAAAGAATTTTTTTTTTATTTAAATAAAAAATGTGAATATTTGAATTAATGCATTAATTAAAAAACTATTTTTATATTTAAAATATTCAGTTTAAATCTGCTATGTATTTATATTATTTTCTTTATTTAATAAATTGTAGCAAAGCATGCAAAAGTTCACTGCATGATGCCTACATGGAAGATTTTCTAAGATAAATTGTCTCATATTCATACTACATATGGAGTAAACCACAAAAAACTTATGTGCAACTAGCCCATTCACTAGGGTCAAATTACCAGTGGAACCTGGGTGAAATTGCCAGTGAATCTGGGTCACATTATCAGTGAACCTGGGCCAAATTACTAATGTTTGGTGGTTTTGTTATTTGGCTGATGCTAAGCCATTTTCTTCTTGTGTAAAAAAGATGTAATCTCATTGTAAAATTCATTAAATTATTATTTACAGTTGGTAACAGTAATAATTAAATTCTTCTCTAGATTTCATTGAATGGAAATACTTGGATTTCAGTTTTTATTAACTTTTTAACCTTAGGGTATTTAAAGAAATTTATAAAGCAAGAATATATACCATTGCTCACTAATTTTATATTTTATTTGATAACATTGCAAGTTTGTTTAACTAATGAATTCAGCAAATGCTTTATTATTAAACTGTATGAATTTATAATTTTTGCATTAACATTTTTAACAAGAAGGAAAAAAGAATAGAAATTCTAATATACTCTTTTTAATGAAATCAGATTTTAATATGCAATTTTATGATGTAAATCTTCAATTTTACATTTTGCTCTTTTTTTTTTTTTTTTTTTTTGTGTGTGTGTGTGTGTGTGTGTTTTAAAATTATAAAAAAGTTACTGAAATTACTTTATGATTATATAGGTTATAATGCATGAAGTGTTCCATATACTGGGTTTCTCACAACACCTTTTCCCAAAATATAAAACTTGCACATCAGGTAAACTGAGTTCCTTATTATTTCAACCATTTTATAAGTGTAATAATTTTAAAGCACAGTGGACCTTTTTTAAGGTGGCCACTTATGATTTGACATGATTTTGATATTCTGAAGAAATGGCTGTCTTATAAAAGTTGGCAGTTGGGTATGATAATTATCAATTTCCATAACATAGTTCCCTATTTGAAGCTAAGTGAGGATAAATATTCAAATACTGAAGTGCAATATACCTGTTTATTAGGTACTTTCCCATTTTTATAGTTCTGTTCATAATGGCACCAGCATTATTACCAAGGTCATCTGAAAGAAAGTAAAACGTTTCTTTCTTGGAAAAATAATGTGGCATCTCATCAGTCATTGGTAAATGAAAAATTGTTAACATTTAAAAAGAAAAAGAAAGTGCATTGTGGTCTTTTCACAGCTGTTATCTTCCTTAGACATATTTTTGGAATGATTAAATTGTTTCTCACAGCACTTAATGGATGTCAGTTCCTCTGCTCAGCAGTAAATAAATTGATAGTGCTGTCACAAGTGATATTACAACATTCCACAGATAAAAATAAACCAACATTCCACAGATCAATAATCATCTTGCAGAATTGTAATACGTACATTAAAGTTAATGCAAAACCAAACTGTTCTCTTTTTGTTTATGTGGTCAAAAGTTTACTCCCACGGTGGTTAAATAAATAGCACCTGCTAAATTTAAAAAGTTTACATTAGGAACTGTCATTGGCAAGTTATCGCTTTTCTTGGCTGTGTTTCAGAACTAAAGTACTGTTTATTAATACTATTATATTATTAATTACAAAAGTAAATTGTGATCTAATTGAAAAAAAAGACACGTAATTTTTTTTTTTTTTTTTTTTTTTTTTAATCTGTAAGTATTTTAAAATATACAAAATAGATCTAATATGTAAAGGGAGGGAAAAGTTTAGAAAAATCTTGCATTATAAATTTTGTTTAGTAATTACAAAAGCACTCAAATTGACAGTCCTCATCAAATTAAGTCCACATCTCCTTTAATAGATTGACAGCAGCATTTTCAGTAATTTTTAGTCATGTTTCTAAATTTAATATTTTATTGTGTTGCCAACATCACACTAAACTGTCACCTATCTCTCAATTTACATGGAAGATAGGTTCCGCACAAAACCGTATAAATCCAAATCTTGGAGTTTGCTATATAAAACCATGTAAAACGAAAAACACACTAAATGTGCATAATTTAGTTATTTATTTACATAAAACAAAAGTAATACATCTTTGAATAAATAAAGTTATACTTTGTTCATAAAATAACAAACTTATGTAGTTAATAGAAGTACATATTTAATTTATTTTACATTAGGAAAATATAAAAATCATTCAAAAAATTTTATAAGTTTACTCACTGTCATCTTTCATGAACTATTAGTCTTCTTTTCTTGATTAGTATGATGTCACTTTCATCACTAAAACATTCTTGATAAGATTCTGCTTCAATGGTTGACAAATTAGGGAAGATCTCAGATCAACAAGACTTTGCAGGGAAATCCGTAATTAACAATTGCCTCGTTTTTCCCCCCTAAATCTTTGTAAACCTTTTCATATTGATTTAAGCATTTGCTAAGCTCCTGTTGGAGTTGGAGAGCTTGTTCAACATTTGTGTCATATTGTAAAAAATGATTACCTAGTTTTCTTCCCCATTCAAGTCCTGCACTGATGACTCTTGCTGTGAATGCAACTGGTTTAGATTGCTCTTCATCATGCTTATTTGTTTCATGAATCATGTTAACTTACTCATCCTCATTTAGTTCTTCATCAGACATTATTTCTTCAATATCTGCCTGAGCTAAAGCCTCAAAACCTTCTCCTCCTATAGTTTGGGCCAATTTAGTGATTTGAGAATATTCATGCTCTAATGCTAATCTATCATTCTCATCCTTAGCAGCATCCAGCCATATTGCTTTCCACCATGCGTTCAGCGTTGATTGTTTAATCTGAATATATGACAGTCCAACATGCTTAACACAATCTAAGATTCCAAGCATCCATAAGAGATTCATCATTCTCCATTTGTTCTAAAATATACTTGAAGGTTTGTTTGATATACAGTGCCTTAAAAGTCGAAATTATTCCTTGATCTAACGGCTGTAATAAGGAAATTGTATTCTTTGGTAAAAAGCCAACTTCTACATTTTCGTGTTGTAAATCTTGAGGATGACCAGGTTCATTAAGAGAAGAGCTTAAAAGGCAATCCCTTTTTACTTAAATAATTTTTGACATCTGGGGCAAACATGTTTTGAAATCATTCATTGAAAGCAATTGCATGAACCATGCTTTCTTATTAGCCATCTAATAAACCGGAAGGTTATTTATGTTTATTCCTTTAAATAAGCGTGGTGTTTTTTATTTGTTAATAACCAATGGTTTCATTATATAATCGCCTAAAGTGTTGCAACAGAAAAGAATTGTTATGTGACTTTTCGCTACCTTATGACCACTAGCTGATTTGCAAGCTTTAGCTAAATAGGTTCTTTCAGGCATTTTTTTTTTTTTTTTTTTTTTCCCATGGCGACCCGGAGTTTTCAGCATTGACGATCTGATCAGAAGTGTAGGAGTTGGTTGCAATGATTTCAGCAAAATTTGCTGGATAATGTTGTGCTGCATCTGAATCAGCAGATGCACTTTCTCCTTTCAGTCTTAGATTAAAACAAAATCGAATATAAATAATAGATCTTACCTGGTTCTTGATTCTCTGAGCTTCTAAACAGAGTAATTGAAAATTACTTAGCTTTTAATCCTTTATCGACACATTATAACGAAAGACAATTCACTTGACAAGAAACATCTTACACATCTAGCTACATTCTAAAAATAAAAGTAAACAAATCAGTTTTAAATTCAAAGGCTCACTATCGCCCCCTATCGGCTGAGTTTTCAACGTAGATTATGTAAAGCATGTCTTTGTTTAAATCTCTGGAACCAACCATGGCCTGTGGAAAACGATACCTTTTTTCCATCTGACAAAGTCGACAATTACTGATTCTTAGGTGCTTTATAAATTTTTAAAGCAGTATTTGTAATAACATTAGTATCAATCGGAATCCGCTTTTTGATTTTCGGCTTCTATCCATATCACTAATGACTTTTCCATATTTTCCATTGTATCACCTTTTACATATGATATTGTGCTGGTACTGCTGCAAGTTTCAGCTGCTACTCTTTTTCTAATAGAGTCATCATTTTTTCTAATTGTCCTTATCATAGCTTCATTCATGGAGTAAAATTTAGCAACATCTGTTACTCTTTCTGTATTATGTAGATGATCTGATTTTAATTTTTGTTTCTAAAGAAATAACTTTTCTTTTTATTAGTCCAAAGGGGCTTTGTCCTTGAGGGATCATTGTTTTTGTTTTGTGATTTTGCGTCAAATCACTTTGGATTGTCCATTTCACTTTTCAAACTGTTGCCACCAACTATTATTGCCCTGTATTATATTTGAAGAAATTAAATAATGAAGAATCTGCATAAATGTATGTATGTTTCCCACATTGTGATGAAACAATGGTACCTAGAGCCATCAAATTTTGAATGACGTAATCCTACTGCAAATATGGGCATTTGGAAGCCAAAATTTGAAATTTGTTTTATTATCAATTTCATATTTTGTAAAACTTTAATGCATTTTAATTAACAAACTTAAGGATTTCAAAGCGAGCAATGGCAACATTGTACAGAAAAAACATTTTTATCTCCAGCACATGAGACTGTGTTTCGGAAATTCTACGATAGGCACAATTTAAAATTATTTTGTGATATTGCTCTTGAACTGAATTTTATGGTTTAAGTGCAAAGAACATGATATTTAATAAATAAAGGTAACACACAAAATGTTAAAAAAAAAAAAAAAAAAAAAAAGCCCCTTTGGACACAATTTAAAATCTGAAACCTTTCAGGTTTTTGTTTTTAATTTTTTAATTTTATCTTTTTAGCTTTATTATTACACATTGTTTTCTTCACATTTTCGCCACAAACTTAGCGATTTACAACAAAATTGCAAAAATTTAAATGCTGCAGTAGCATACGTTTAAAATCCATGATGCCGTGTTGAGTGTTAGTATGCATTTTTATATTTGTTTATTTTTAAAAATCGTTTGGCATTATAAAACCTTAAAAAATTTACGTAAATTATAAAAATGCCACAAAAATATAAATATTGAAAACTTACCAATAAACATTCAAATATGTAGATAAAAATGATGTAAGCTTTGTTGCTAAAATACTGATAGTGCACTAATTCACATGAACCAAATAGCTTTACTGTTGTGAAATACATATACATAATACGGGGAATCCCCTTTTACAACATGGGGAATCCCATTATTTGTTGTTGCCACCAGTGTTACCAAAGGAATGATTCAAAAATGACTTCAAATATATGTATTTGTGTATTTGCAGCCGAATATAAATTTTTACCAAGTTTTTGAAATCCATTGAAACCGAATAAATAAACCGAATAAAACGGAAATCGTTTAAAATGAGTGCCGTGTAAATTGAGGGATAGATGTATCATCAAAAATGGTAGTGAACTGCCCTGTTGAAGTACTGATTTGTTATATATTCTTAACTGACTGAGACATGAGTTAAAAAATTATGTAAACAGTTTAGAAGTGTGAATGAATTGTTCACAAAAGAGCTGCATCATATTCTATATTAAATATATATGATATATTACACTACCGTAAACCATTAATGTTTTCCATAAAATATATTTACTGTTAGAATAAAAACTGGAAATACTTGATTTATTTAAAGCCTAAAATATATTAGGTTGAGAGTGAAATTAAATATTTTGTGGTTCTCAGCATCGCACATATTTGATTATCTTGATATAATTATGGATATTGATGTCTATTTGTGTTTTTATAGTGATTACTTTGGTAACAGGAATAGGGTTTCCTTTGTTACAGTTCTTATTAATGCATATTTCTATGCATATTACATTTATATATATATATATTTATATTGCAAATATGCATTCACATTTATAGTTAAAAAAAGAATTAAGTGTATCATAAAAAATAACCAAAGAGTGAAATTAAAATTACACTTTTATTAATTGTATATATAAAGATTTCCGTGTGGAATTTACCAACTAGCTGATTTCTTCTAATTTTAGTTACATCAGTTATTTTCAACACCAAATTAAAGGTAAAATATTAAATTCACTTGCTTAAACTATGTTTGTGTACTCAGTTCTATTTTCACTTTCACTAAAGCTCTGATAGAACTAATATTAGCATAATGTTTAAGTATCCAAATTAAATTTTTCGTACTTAATTTTATTATTATAGTACTAGTCAGTAATAAAAATTTTCAGTACTTTTAGAGAATAATAAATAGATAAATAAAAAATGATAATAATAATAATAAAACAATAGGTAATATAAATAAAATAGTAAATGTCTTAGGATGAGTTATGGATGAAACTTAATGTATGTATAAAACATATAGTTTATTTACTTAATTCTGGATGTAAATAAAATACCTTACCAAACCGTTTATAAATGCAAATATTTTGAAAAATGTTAATAAATCGTATGGTCTTGTTTGTACAGTATGGCCTGGTCATTCTCTTCCCGCCCCGAACTAAATAAGTAAATAAAAATTTAGAGTTCTAGAGTTGTTAGCTGCAGCTGTACAGATATTTTTTGAGGGATGGTGGGACTTATCATGTAAAAGATTTCAAATAACATTCTATAATCGTCAAAACCATCAAATGTAAAACTTATAAATGGAGTTCTAAAATTTAATAAATTTTCATTTATTTACTTGTTTATTTTGTAGACAGGAATTGTATTTATTTCTGTTTTCATTGCATTTTTTTTTTATGTGATTCAGGGAAGAAAATTTCACTGTATGTATTCATCACCCATCACCTAATATTGGATTAATTTGATGAAATTAAAAAAGAATGTTTTTTTTATTGTATTACTGCAATTAATGTATGAAAAATATTCATGCATTTTCATAAAAAAAATAGAATATAGAATTCAAATTTTTACTGTTTGTGTTTTGAAAATTTGAGGGGACAAATATATTTCCTATAACTGTAGGAAAAGTATATTTTATGTAAGATGTAAGTTTAATGTAAAACTTTTTGGGGGGCATGTAAAGTATTTTTCTTTTGTTGTCTCAAGGTAACTCTAATTATACAAAATGTTTGTCTTTGCATTTCATGTACAGATCTTTAATGTATATATTTAAATTTAGTTTTGTAGTCTGTATTTGTAGAAATTTTATTCCATCCATGAATTGTAACATTTATGGATAATGAATGTGAAAAATTTCAAAATGTATTGCTGTATCTTAAATTTCAGATTTACCCTGCTTGGTATTTATTTTCATGAACTGACTGAAAAACTTGTTGGGGATAAATAAATAAATAAAGAAGGAAAACACAAAAGTTCATATTAAAATGGAAAATAATTAGGACATTGAATTTCAATATATCGTCATTTGATACTTATATTATAGCCTAATGATAAATGGTTTGTTTACCATTTATCATTACCATTTTATTTGTGTTTATGACCTTCATACTGACAAGATGTTGAAAGTTACTAACATTAGGTCAACCTCTGCCAACACATAAACAATAGTTTACATTTATTATGTCTTTTGACAGGGAAAAGAAAAAACTATTTTTACCTTAAAAATTATTGCAAAGTTAAAATTCAAGGATGAATAATGAATAGTGAATATTGCTTGCATTAATATGTCTCTTTCACATCTGAACATTATCGCTGTTAGTAGGTGAGTTCCTCTTTGCTTTGAATCTGTAGTAGTTAATAAAATTAACAGAGTTGGGTGCTAGGATATAACTTTAATGTGTGAACTGAAAATTATTGAATTCTGTGTTGTCTGTATTTGTGCAAGAAGCTGAAGTCAATTTTGTTTTCATTAATTTAGTTTTGTACTAACTGAAGGTACAATAAGTTTTAAATTGTTGTTATTTCTGCTGTATTTTGGGGTTTTGATATCAGTAGTAAAATGGAAACAAAAATTCAACTGGCATGCTAAAATGTTAGCATTTTACAATTAAGTGGGTTAATATATATATATAAATAATAAAATTAAAAAATAAAATAGAGATGAAAAGGATGCTTTTAGGGGCATTCCTAGGAGTTTTAAAACCTTTTGGCCTACTGAACTTTAATAGGTATTATTAAGCATTGAAGAAAATTAAAATAAAATAAAGATGAAAAAGATGCTTTTAGAGGCATTCCAAGGGATGTTAAAGATTTTTGGCCTACTGAACTTTAATAGGTATTATTAAGCACTGAAGAAAATTCTTATTAGAATTTTGGGATTTATGTTAAAATTATGGATTTGAGTACTTTAATCATGCATGCATAGTTTCATAGTTCAAAAAATCATCTCCCGACAAAATAAAGCACTCTAATTTCTAACCTTTTTTAAATAAAGCCACTGTATTTGCAACTGATCACATTACTTAATCCTAAGCATAACAAAATAATTTTGTGCTTGTTTTAGGAAGTATCTATCATTTAAAAAGAAATAAATGCTCTAAGGTAAACTGTAAGAAAAGCTCTAAGATGTAATAGAAAATAATTAACTTTCACCTTTTTGGGTTGGAATAAGCATTTTTTTTTTTTTTTTTTTTTTTTTTTTTTTTTTGGTGTGTGTGTGTGTGTGTGTTATAATTTTCTAACCTATTTTAAATTATCTGCAGCATTTTGTGACATTCCTATGAAAATTGTGCAAACTGATTCATATGGAGTACAGCGGTTACTTTATCCCGAAGTAGTGAAAAGTATGCAGAGTCATTTTAATTGTTCAGATGATGAATTTGGTGCACCTTTAGCAGAAAACTCACAAAGCAATTCATCAAACAATGTAAGTATTTATTTTTTCTTCTTTCTTTTTCTATTTATCCTCCCAACCTGCCTCCTGGCATTAGCCATTTCACTTGGACTGATAGATTCATGAGTGCATTTGTACTTATCATTTCAAGCAGCAATGATGATACAGTCAAATACTTGAAATCCGCGTTGCCTCTCAGAATATAAACATTCAGTTTTTAGGTTCCGGAAACTGCAACATTGAGTACGAAATATCGAAGAAAAAAATACTTACTGAATAAATGACGTCATAATTACCAAATAATAATGGGTCAAAACGGAAATATCAAATTATTGATATAAAAAAAGTTTAAAAAATAAGATAAAATAAATCAGATAAGTTTTTTTTCCCTCTAATCTGCATCGAGGTAAAAAAGCAGACAATTCACTCAACTCTTTGTTCAAGTTCACGATTCGTGTTGTTGTATTTTCTGAGCTTTATTATTTCATTTCACGAGATTGTTTAGTGCTGCCTTTTTTTTATCCGGATATTTTGTGGATAAATTAAGAATATTTTTAATTTTAGCCCTTTTTAATACAATGACAGATAAGAAACGCACTCGTGATTTTACTGCTTGCAATGTTGAAAAACGTAAACACATTGCATTGATGGTAACGCAAAAAGTGCAAATTCTTGCAAAAGGTGGAAGCAGGTGCTACTCTTCGATTTATAGTAGAATGGTATGGAATTGCAACACAGTTGTGTATACATACGGAAAAATAAAGAAAAGCTGTTGAAATTTTACAGCAACAGTGATTCTAACACCGGAATCCGAAACCGGAAATCTTTGCATGAGGCGAAATCGGCAAACCTCGATGCTGTGTACATATAATACAGTGAATAATATAATCAATTTATATATGTAATATAATTTAATGCATATAATAAATTATTACAATAATGTATATAATAGTTTAATTAAATGTATCTAATATGCCTTATTCATTTTGCACTTTTAGTCCGAATATTATGCTTTATCTTTTCTATCTTAAAATCCGCACAACCTGTGGTCCCAAGCTTTGCAGATTTCTGGAATTTTACTGTAGTTGCAATTTGGTTTATCTCTAGCCTAATTTTAATCACGAATGCATTGAGGGTGATAGAATCAGGTAGTATTGTATTGTCTTCCCCTGCCTATAACTTATCTGAAATGATTTTATATTAGTGTATCTAAGTTCCTCTAAATTTAGTGAAGCATCGAGCTATAAAATATAGGAAAAGCGAAATTTTTAAAATTTAGGGCATGCAGTGGCCAGCAAAATTTTTAGAGTAAGGGAAGCACTGGATAACTGAATTAAGGACCTGCAAAGATTGCACTGGGCAGCAAAATGCCTAGCACCAGCCCTGATCATGATAATGCATTGATTATCAATAACACCTATATATATATATATATAATCTAAGAAAGGATAAAAACTAAACTAAAAAAGACCTGTGTGGTCAAGAATTTTGCGCATTGAGCTGCAAAATTAGAAAACAAGGTAAAAAACAGAAAATTCTTCATGCTATTGGTTTAAAGCAAATATGATACTATGGTTCCCGTGAAAAATTTGTAACATAAGTTAAAATAAATTGCAATTAAAAGTTAAAATACAAGAAAAATGAAATTATAACAAGAAAACTGACAAATAAAAAGTGAATTTAAAGTTCAGATCAAATTTAAATGTTAATAAAAGTTTAAACAATCCTGAAACATTTAAACATACACACAAAAGTTATTTAAGATACTAGCAAAAATACAAAGAAGCGGTAAATGGTAAATTAACCCAATTTGAATCTCATTACGGGCTCTTCAAAGGAAATGCACAATGATCTTCGAATCCAGCTAATTCCATACCGTGTTTTGTCAAAATAGAAGAACTGAGACTGAGCACGAAATAACTTTTGACTATTAAACCGACAAAAGAACCTATTAAAACTTAAGTCTCAATTCCTCTACTTCATGTATATATATATATGTATATATATATATCATATAATACATGGTAAGTATTTGGAAAGTTTTTGCAAGGCAATCAAAAACGTCTCTCTAAGGTCTTTACTTCACAGTTCATTTTGAATTTTTTCAAACTTAATATTTACATCTCTTTCTCTCTCTCTAAACACAATTCTTCATATACACAAAGCATGAAAAATAATAAAAGTAAAAATTAAAAGCAGCTAATTTTCTCTAGTTAAGCTGAAAGTTACATCTTGATGTAAAGATAAGAAAAACAGAATTTAATTTTTATTGATATGTTTTTACCAGCCATAACAGCAATCAATTTATGCATATTATATTTCCAAAGATATATGTCATATGAGTGCATATATAGTCTTCAAAACTTTGATTTTCTCAAACTTCATATAGATATTAGTTTTTCTTGTTAGTCTCATGACCTGCTATTCTAAATTTGAGAGAACAGATGAAATAAAAGTAGTTCTGAATTAGCTAATTCAGGAAGTGAAATTTTTTCTTCTTCTCGGTATAGCATATTCATAACATCCAATAATGGCCACTACTACAGATGGAATTAGACATTAACTAAAAAAGTTAGGGATTTGAAGATTAATGGGGTTTCTTTGCACTGTTTGCTTCGTAAATATTTCTTTATTTGTATTACCTGCGGGAGAAATTTGAAAATACTTTTTTTACTTAGATTATTCGAATGTATCTGCCATACATTTATTTATCTTTTGATTTGTAATTATCATTTATCATCTGGAATGGCAATAGAGCTATTGCAGCCAAACCTGACACCAAGTGTTTTTTTAGAATTTAGGGAGGTTTCGTACTTTTGAATTATGCCAAAAGCAGGCAAGGGCTATCTGCCTAAGAGAAGGGATGCTTTTGTGAAGTACTTTCTTAGAAAAGCTGGCTCTTATTAATGTTACACATGGAGAAAACCACCAAACACTCATACAGCCAGCTTTTTTGAAAGGACTTGGAAACCAGGTCGAACTAGTAGTGTTCAGTGATTTAAGTGCTCTAATATCTTAAGTGGTAGAATCAGGTTAGGTTATTTGAATTTGGCAAAGACATGAGAGCTACCTGCCTGAGATGACAGATGCCTTTGTGGGTGACCCAGCCAGATAACAGCTTGCATCAGAGCCAAAGCATTATTGATCTTTTTTCTCTTGTATTCCTATATACAAGGAATATATATGTATGTATATTATATACCTATATTTCCTGAATAAAACATTCAATTCCTATCATTCTGATAGCATTTCATTTTCAATAAATATGCATGGCATTTATTGATTTTCATCCCATCCAGATCAGTCCTTGGTGTGTTGCTTCTTATGTTATAGAGAGTATCTTTGCATGTTATATATTTTTTAAAATGCTGTGTGATGAGATATTTTATTCAAAATTAGACGAAATTCAACGTTGAGATTACTTTGTACATAAACTAAGCATTTCGAAAGAAACAGACATGGGGTTTAATTTTAAGCTTAAGGTGAATATTTTGCCGAGCACCTTCTGTAAAAGTAACTTTGTAAAATTGAGGCCAATTTTGAATATGAGATTTCCATGCTTCTGTTCCAATAGTGTCTTAAAGTAGGAGGCCAAACTATCAAGACTTTTTGACAATACAGCAAAGCATTTTTTGAGAAACATTCTGTCAAATTTTTACTATTTTGATTTTCATTGGGGGGCGAGGAGAAAGCCAGAGTTTTAAATGCAGTAAAAGCCACCTTTCTCTGTTGCATTTACAGAGAATACTTTCTGAGATGACCACCCAAGGTTCCAGAATTGTTTTAGTCTTAGGTCATCTTTGGTCTTACCGACATTTGTTTATGTTCTTAAGAATACTGGTAATTTTCAAGGATGGATATCTTAGATAGATGATTTCCTAGAAAGTATGCTTACTTGTACATTATGTAGAGATATATATTCTGATTAGCCAATCTATTTTCTGTTTGTTTAGCAATAATAATTTGTATAAATTATTGAATAAAACTTGAAGCTTCATTTTTAAACCTTTTGTTTTTCATTTGTTCTGCTACAGTGAAACAGATTTATACAATTCTAAGTACAAGAAGGTAATAAACGAGCTCAGCTTAGCTCATAACCAGACAAACTCCAGGAAAAGATGAAATATTATTATTTTTTATAGTTTACTTTACTCGCCCTTCTCATGTATGGGAATCTGTGTGTACATTTTTTCTACCTTCAGTGGTTAGTTTGGTTTATTTAATTATGACAAAGTACTTGAAGACTGTTTGCTTGAAGTAATGCCTTTTTGGAGGACTTTCTAAAAGAAACAGGCTCGTATACACATTTCATGGAGAAAACCACAAAAACGCCCATCCATTCGCTGGGATTTGAACCCAAGACTAAACTACCACTCGGTAGCTCAGTGACCTTACCACTCAGTAGCTGGTGACCCTGCACCTTCAATGATCCGTTGCCTGATAAACCTGATATGTAAAACACAATCTGATTTTATACTTTTCAGTGCAAAGTAAAATCTTCAAACTAGGCATTCATTCCAATAATTTGACAATATGTTATTTTCATTCAAAGAGAACTTAAATAATGTGTTCTCTTTGAGGGTATTGTCGGTTATGTTCACGCTATGTTTTATGCAAGTAATAGACATCCTGTTAATGTTTTTATAATAAAATGCATATTAGTGATTGGTTTCTAATCTCTGTGATATCCTGATATTGCAGCAAAAAATATTTGAATAAAAATATTATTTTTTCCTACATTTGTGCATACAGATATATTAGAATATTTATCTTCATACTTGCAAGATTTGTTTTCCATTTTTGAATGAAAAAATATAAACAGGGGTGTTATATGATTTCCTGATACAAGTAAAAAGTATATATAAAGCTCCTTATTGTATATTTACATATATTTATAATATGCATATGTTGTGTACATACATGTAACATGAAATATAAAATTATTTCTATCATTTTTACGTAGTGATGAAATTACCAAAAAAGTTTAAAATCTGGTATTTTTAAAAAACGTTTTCTGTCATGGAATAATGACAAGTGACAAAATTTATGCAACATTAAAAAGGCAATTCGATGTAATGAATGTATTTGGAAAAACGAAACTGCTATAGTTGTATAGTGTGTCACAGATATCTTTCATTCAGCATGAAAGGGAAAAAGTTCTATTCCTGGACAGAATATATCCTGCAGTCACAGGCAATGAAAAGAAAGAAATGCCAGCAGATCTTTTGTTCAACTGAGGGGATGTGTTATGGGTTCTGTGGCTTACGTTACTGCCAAACCATGATCCAGAAAGTAAAGCATTGTTGTCATAGCAGCCAAGCGCCGGGTAGTCTTGTAGATTTCCATCATAACTGCTCAACATTTATAGTGCCATCTGTTGATAAAAATTAATATGAAAAGAAAGTATGAATCCCTTTTTAAAAGAATAGTATGATAGTTTTTTTGTAAATTATTAAATATTATATGTTATACGACTTTTACCACATTTTAACCGTTATGATATTATTGGTGTTGTATTACAAGAATTAATATTTGTATTCATGCTATTCCTCAAGGATTCAAGTTGCAAATCTTTGGAATTTATCACATTTGTAACCGAGAACTACCTGTATTCTTATTTAATGAATGTCTAATTCATGCATTTAGAAATGTTATGACAAATAAAATATTATCAATTTAGGTAAAATCTAATTTAAATATGTCATTGCATGCTAAATTACAGATGAGAGTTTTTATTGCTTTTAACTTTAAATAATCAACATTTCATTAAGGGAATATCTCATTGCAGGTTACATATCTGAATTAAGTTCAAATAATTTCTTATTATTTCAGATCCGGTTTAGGATTTAGTAAATTTGTAAAAATTCATGTTATAGATGAAAAAAGAAGTCATTGAATGGTGAGAAAATGAATGTAATTAGTATTACTAAATTTTTTAAAGTATAAAAAGAAAAACAAAGATCTTTCGCGTTGTTCTTAATGGGAAATTATGCTTCGTAAGTTACTGTGCAATGCCAGTTTAATATATTATTATTTAAGTGTGTGTTTAAAATGTGTTACAATTATGCTTATTGCTATTAAAATGAGACTTTTAAATTGGAATTGCCTGAAATTATGTCCTTTGACTTGCTACAGTGTTTTCCACTGAACAGTTTTTAATATATTTTCTTTCTTTTTTTAAACAAGTCTTATACTTCTCACTGGCATCCTGTTCTTATGTACACCAGCATTATGACACCTTCAGTCTTGGAGGTAAGCTTCTTTTTGTAGCAACTGAGCTTAATTTGCAAATTCTTTAAAGAGGTTATGAAATTAAAGTAAAGGTTTATTTAAAAAGTAAAGAAACTCTAAGATAATAATGACAAATCCCTCATAAATAAATTATCATGGCGAAATCATAACTAAAAATAATTGTGCACAATATAGTGTGTCCCATAAAAAAGTGTAACTTTTTCTTCACTGTAATGTATATCTGAAGAAGAAAGCGTATGTGAATGAGCATGTGTATAAAAAGGTGAATAAGTGTATGATTAAACTGCTACAGTAAGTGTTGAAAGTAACTATTAGTCTTTCAACTTTTGTATGGTGTTTTTACTTTTTCCTTCATAACCCCCCTCTCTCCCTTCACCCTTTAAAGTTTTTGGTTAAAACTTTTTTACGGTTAGTAATTGTGACACTTAGTTGTTCCCAGGTTACATAGGAAGGAAGCTCCATTAGAAACCTGGTCTAGTAAATGACTAGATTTTATTTTACCAGACCTTTGAAAAAATAAGCTCTGGTAAAACATCATTTTGGAGATGTTGGTAGCCTGATGACGTGGTCACCAAATTATACTGGTGTAAGAAAACAGCTGTGTTGGTGTAATGTGATATTTCTTAGTTGTGTTGCAGTTAATAGTTTCAGTTGTCTACTTAAAAAAATATGGTGAACTGCATTAAAAGACAATATCATTCTTTTTAGTGTTGCACTGATGTACAAAGATAATAAATACTTTTCAGTAGCTAAAAAATTTTTGTAGCTTTACAAAGTTTCGTACCATTACAAAAATGTATTACATGCCACTCTTTTACGGGTGCAGAGACTAGTTATTTGATGATTTTATGTGTAGGAATTCTGTATTTTCCTGCTCTAGCTGTTTTGGTAGCTTATAGTCAAGATAGTTAGTTATTTAATGAAATGGCATTACAAGTTGCAGAGTTTCTGTAGTTAATTCATAATTGTAAAATGCTAACTAATAGTTTCATGTTATATAAGGCATGTTGTATTCTTAGCTCATGTTCAGATGTATAAATGAAAAAAAAAAAAAATCATATACTTTAGTAGTATAATAAAATTCTGACACAGAGATGTCTAATGTTCTCTCAAGCGTATTTATCTTTAATTTAATTTACATTTAAAACACTGAATAATTATGCATTTATGAGTTATCTCTTTGCCTTGAAAGCTCAGAGATTCAGAAATTACAAGTAATTAGTAATTTAAATGCTGTTGAATTGTGCATTTATTGTATAACACCAGTAAGGCTCGAACAATTATCTTTGCTTTGCATTAATTACAATAAATCAAAAAAGTGGGAAGATATCACTACTAATTGTTTTCATATTTAGTTTGTATTAAAAAGTGATATAATGAAAATAATATCACTTTTTCAAATTTCATAAGCACAAGAGCAGCACATGTAAAAGATATAATAAAAAGGTTACTGCAATCATTTAATATTGCTCATAATTTGAATTCTATTTTACCAGTTTACTAAAAAAATGTGTGTTTGATTAATTAAGTGCATATTTTATTTCATTGAATTGCCAAAATTCGAAGTATTAAAAAAATATTTTTGTCTGTTTATCATGTATTATTTACTTAAACAGTATTTAAAAGCCCATAATATTAATGAACTATTATTTTTGACTCAACATAGGAAATTTTCTGGGACATATCTTTCACTCTGTATCAAATTGATGCTATTATTTCATACACAGAAAAGTTAGAGACTTTTACAAATTACTTCATTTATTTTAAATCCCTCTCAAAGAGTATAATTTAAGAGAAGAGTTTGTCAATTGTCTGTGCTAAATCTGAGTATGGAACAAATAATTTATGGAACAAACAACTTTTTTATAGGATGACTATGTTGTAATTGACAACATTACTCTAGCCTTATTTGCTAGCACTGGATGGTACAAGATAAACTTTTCAAAAGCTGAAGACTTCAACTTTGGTCTAGGTAATTTATATAGCTGTGCATATATTTTTAATTTATCAAAATGATATGGCTTGAAATTTTTGGTTCAATTCAAAATGATAGCTTTAATTTGTGAAACTGTTTTTTAAAAATTAATTAAGACACTGTTAATCAAAACATTATTAAAATAAATTTTTAAAACCTATTTAATGGAACTTTCAAAATTCGTGATTAAAAATATATCATACCTTGAATTTACAGAAGTCTGAATGCTGAGATATATCATAATTAGGTTTAAGACATACAGGGTGGTCGTCTCAACAGCCTATCTGTCCAACCAATCAAAATGAAATTTCCCATATTGCTATCTGAAGGTATGAACCAGAGATTGTGATGATTTATAACAATAGAGCTGTAATGGAAATAATTTTGATATTTTTGATTGGCAACACTTCTTGTGCCTGACACTGACTTTTCTTCTTATGCAGGTTGATCTGTGCATTGAAAAATCATAAATGCCATTGGAATGATGCGCATAAGACAAAAGTTTCTGTCATGAAACATATAGAAAGAAAAGATCATCATCATTCCTCATGAGATATAATGAAGTAGTATGATAGTAGGTGACCACTATGGATATTATACATTCCCGGTTACAAAGCACCTGGTCACATAAGCACATTCATTCTTAATCCATACTTCTTTGTAGAGGTTACTTGTCATTAGTCCTTTATAATGCTTTTTTTCCCCAAATATTTTATGCTGGCAGTTTTCGTTATATGTGTATTGTTCTAACACATATGGGACTTTGTGACATATGTGTATTGTTTATTATTTTTCAGTGCACTGATCAATTTGCACAGGGGAAAAGTGGCTGTTGCCTTTAAAATTTTTTGAATTTTTTTCACAGTTATCGTAACACTGAGAGCTTCTATTATTTTAAATCATCATAATCTTGAGTGCATATTTGCAAATAATAATATCGAAATGAAGATAGGCTTTTCATATATTGAGGAATTTTTTTATATACAATATTTCTCACCTTAAAGTATTTGAAGAGTTTATTTGGCAGTTTAGAATTGTGGATGAAGGTTTGATTTTATTTTGACACAACAAACTGTGTTTTTGCATAGTCCTATTGGACTTTGAACTGCTATATCATTATTATTTTGATATTCTTGTCATTCCAAATTTTGTGATTTCTAATTTCTGTTTTGTAACCTGGGGATATTGTCTTGCCAGATTGGAAATTTAAGGGAGGTAGTCCAAAATCTTCCACTGAAAATGTTGCCAGATTTCCTGAATTGAGGCATTCATGTATAAGCAAGGATTGTCGTAAAAAACATCATTTGTCAGCAGCCAAGAAGAATGCCATCTGTTGGCTGCTAGTAAACATTCCAATTCTAACTTTCATTTGGATCACTTTATTGGCAGCGGATATAATTTGAACTTCCTTTAATTTCAGTATATAGTACAGATTAAAGTTTCAGGTATTAATTATATGTTGAAACATATAAAAATATAATATAAGCTAGCATCAATATTTAAAAGTATTGTGGATTCTTGCATAGTGCCATCTGACTGTAATTCCTACAAGAATTTGACAACCTTAGAAACTGTTCTGGATTTTTGTAGAAAGATGTCATTTTGTATTTCTTTTCTGGTTGATGCTCTTTTTTTCTGGGAGGAAGAAAAGAGAGTAGAGATTTCTTTCTTTCCTTCCCAATGTAAATTTTAGATTAATCATAGCAATCATATATCTTCACTACTTCACTTTTTATTAACCCTTTCACCATAGAAAGTTCTCAGAACGCTTAGTTATTTCACATTAATTTTTATTCTATCATCTTTTTACTAAATTTGTGGAAAAGAAAATCAAGCAAAAATAATCTGTTATTTCCAGACATGTGATTTTTTGAAAAAAAGAAAAAAAAAAAGAGAGAGAATTGTGAGTATTCAAATTCGCATGCAGTTAAACTTTTCTTGATAGAAGATATATGATGGAAATATATTATCAACAACAGCTGAGAAAATAATAGAATCAGAACTTTAACCCTCCAAAGGTTACAGATATAAAATTATATATTGAAGGATGGCTTTCTCATTTGTTACACATGAAAATTTTTTTCTAGCAGCTTGATCAATCTGATTTTAGGCTAACTGTATATTGGGAAAAAAGGAAGTACAAAGTGAGAGGGGCATCTTTTACATTTTGGGAAACTTTGAAATTTCAAGGCCAAACTTGTAATGTTCAGAGGATTTAACTAAGTCTCTTGCTTTCCTGTTTAGCAGAATTCATACTGAATTAGTGACGAGCTGCAAAAAAGAATATTCTAGTGATTATGATAGCCAAAAAGCCCGTTTCAAATGCAAAAGAGCCTGTTTCATCAATCTGCTGATGTCGAAAATATATTTCAGCACCAACAGATTGTTATTTGTGTGTACTGATGGATACTGGCAAGATTTTATTCCAGAGCAGGCTGTTTTCTGTACAACTGAGAACAAGATATGATTTCAGTGTACATTGTTTTTTAATTACTGATGATACTGTAGATTTTATAGCCTGACAACCTTGAAGGTGATTTACACTCAGGACTGATTTTCAAAGGACAAGCTTTGAACATATTTAAGGGTTGCCATCCAACTGCTGAACATTTTGCAAAAATTCATACTTAACAGATAACATATACTCATGGTTATGATTAAAATACTTTGTCATAGCTTCCAACTTGTACAATAAACACAAGAGACTCCCAGTTTTTCATATATCTCAATAAGTCACCAAATTTCCCAATAAGTCACCAAATTTCCTGGCTTTTAATTTTTAGCCTTTACTCGGAAAAATTGCTATTAAAAATGTTTCCCAGCAATCAACAAAATTTATTAGGTTATTGAAATTGTGCAAATTCTATTCCCCCACTTAGTTATAGTGATTGTTGGCATAATTTTTCTCATTAAACTTTGTTTCACCTGAATTGTTCTGTTGTGAATTTTTATAGGACTTTTTATGAAGATTGAACCAGTATTTAATCAGTTAAAACTTTTATTTAATTTTGTTCTACATCAATAAAGGATACATTACTAAGTTTATCCACACAATACTATGTATATTAATGATTTTTTTTTTTTTTTTTTTTTTTTTTTGTACATAAAAGTACTTTAAAATAAACAAAGGAATTTTTTAAGTCTCAAGATTTTTTTCAGCATAAAAGTTGTTCAAAAATTCTCACCAAATTTGTTCCCTCAGGAACTATTTATTACTCGGAAATAACTATCTATACCTCTTTAGTTACTTATGACTCTACAATAATTAAATAATTCATTTACTCATACTCTCAAATGAGGAAAACAAAAGTTACACTAACTCTCTAACAAGAACAACATTATAGTATGTTGCCATTCTCTGAAACATAAACTGTTACAAAACATAGATAATGAATAAAAAAAACCTATAGAGTAAGAAAACGATTATATCTGCTTGAAGCTTGTGCAATATTACTCAGAAGCTGCAAAATATAAATAAAAATATTAGAGTCAAAATATTGTTCATCCTCCCACCTTGCAATATGAAATTCGGGATTGAGTATTGCAAAATAATAAAAAATTAAACATTGTTCCCACAAGTCCAATCGATGAGGAACTCTAATTGTCCTTCCTGATTTGGTTATCACGGGCGATTTTAAATGGGTATGAATTATTCTATTTGTTTCTACAGGTACATCATCAATTGGAGTTCGCTCTATCAAAATATTTTCGATTTTCCATTTGTTGTTCTCGCCAAATTGGCGAGGGTTTCATCTCGTTCAGGTACTGCATCCGTATTTTTATCCTTATTCATGCTAACAGCAACTAGAGATTTTGATTCAGCTTGGATATTTCTACATAAAAGTATGCGGTGTTTCTTCCCACAAATCACAAACGATGTTCGTTTTTTATATTTAGCTATCACGTGTTTTCTGTCTAAACATAAAAAGCAATTGTGACTATTTAGAACTGCTTTTTGCCTTTCCTCAGACGTCATCTTTCTTGCTTTAAAGCAATCACCAGATGCATGATTTCCAGCACAAAAAATACATCCAGTTGAATTTTGTTCAGATGTTGCTATTAGAGTTAGAAGCAGAAGAAGTTTTGGAAAATTCTTCCACGGTTTTTGAAACCAAAAGTGTTTAGCATTCCCAGGCTTAGAAGTATTAGTAAAGCACTGAGTAGCTATAGATACTCTCTCTTCACCTTCAATTTCATTGAGCAAAAATGAAAGCAAACCATCTAAATCCATGCGATGTGTTGATGCATTTTTCTCTTTTTGCTCACTACTTTCAGATTCTCTCTGACTGCGATTAATAACTCGGAACCTTTGCTATGCTCTTAATGTATCATCCGGCAATGACGATTTGACTAGAGGATATAACATCCCTGCATATTTATCTCTAGCAACACCCAGAACTTCTAATGCTCTAAGTTTTGATTCTAAGTTATCATAGAGTTTTCGTAATGAAAATTTCTGCTGACAGTTTTTTAATAATACGAAAATTAATAATACAAATAAATAATACGAAATTTTTTAATAAATGAAAGTAGATCTCTAACATAGACTTCTATAAGAAGGTCTTCTTTCCCAAAACACGATTGCAGTTGTTCTAAAGCTTTACAATAACTTTCGCCACTGGGCGGAAAGCTTTTGATTAAATCTTCAGCAGATGACCCTTTTTCCATAGACTGCAATAAATATGCAAATTTATCATGATCATCTAAATTGGGATCATTATCGATCTTTTTAAACTGGCCCCAAAATCCTAACCAGCTTTTAATATTCCCATAAAAATTACTTACAGATAACAGTTTAATAAATAAAAAGTTTAAGCTTAGAATAACGAATAGTAGCATTTTGAGTTAAGCTTTCATTAACAACAGAACCGTTTTCCTTTTCAGCTAAAAGCAAAACTAATTTGCCTTCTACCATTCTCCACTTATCAATATAGCATTCAGACTCATCAAACTCGTTATTTATCACAGTTTCATCTTTTTCAATTTTAATCAATTCTTCTCTATAAGGCTGTTCTATTTCAATCATAGGTTTCGCTTTGTCCTCAACTAATTTAAGTTTTGAAATTTTTCCGTCTAAAGATAAATCATTTTCATTCTTCTCAAAATCATTTAAAGCTTTTGTAAACAATCTCCTAAATTGAGGTCGTTTGCACTTCAAAACATCCATTATAAATAAACGAAAGAATTCTACTTACAGATAACAGTCCAGTCAGCGGATGCCAAATGTTCAAAAATTATCACCAAATTTGTTACCTCAAGAACTATTTATTACTCGGAAATAACTATCTCTCAACATGAAAATGTACTGGAACTCCCATTTTTTTTTTTTTTTTTTTTTTTTTTATTCAAGGTTGGTAGTTATGATTTTCAAAAATTTAAGTGGTTATTTATATTTTTGGCAACATCTTGTTTTAATTATGAACTACTGATCTTTATCACACAAATTAGTTCATTCAGAAGTTCAGGCAGATGGAAATTATTTTCAAAATTGTATAACTGTAGTTATTTAAGCTTGCTTTCAAAATATACTTCAATAATGTTGTCTGGCTAAAATTTTTTAAAGAGGAAATTTTTATGCTGTTTTAGTAATCATCTCAAACCTTAAAAAGTTTCATTTGTTTCTTTTTTTTTTTAATTTATAGTCTTAAATGTTAATGAAGGAGAAGGATGAAATGCAAATTTAATTATTTTAAAATATACTTTTTGTTTCATATTTAATTTTCACTCAGTAGTGATATGGATATGCTTGTAATTCAAAGGGGCTTTGTCCCTGAAGGACTATTGTTTTCATTTTGCGATTTTGCTTTGGTTCACTATAAATGTCCGTTTCACTTTTCTAACTGTTGCCACCAAATGTTAGAGTACTGCATTATATTTGAAGAAATTAAATAATGAAAATGCATAAATGATGTCTATTCTCTGATTGTGATAAAAACAACGGTACATAGAGCCATCAAATTTTGAATGACGTAATCCTACTGCGAATATGGGCATGTGGAAGCCCAAATTTGAAATTTGGAATTTGTTTTATTATCAATTTCATATTTTGTAAATCTCTAACGAATTTCTGATTAACAAACTCAAGGATTTCAAAGCAAGTAATGGGAACATTGTACAGAAAAAACATTTTTATTTTCAGCGCGTGAGACTGCATATTGGAAATTCTAAAAATATGCTCAATTTAAAACTATTTTGCGATATTGCTCTTGAACTGAATTTTATGGTTTAAGTGCGAAGAATGTGACTCTACATATAATAAAAAAAAGAATCTGTCAATGTCTTTTGTTCGCGCTGCGCGTAAGCTAATAGACCCACGGCTACGAAATTTGGTACATAGGTGTATCTAGACAAGAGCCAGTGCACCACAAAGTGATTTTTTTTTTAAATTCGAATTCGAATATTTTTTTATTTTATGTTTTGTAACGAAATCGTGTCATTTTGAGACATAATGGGCTATAGGAAAGCGAGATTTTACTTACACACCCATTTCACATCATCATGAAACATGGGCTATTTTAATGAACTTAATAAATTGATTAATCGAATTTATTAACAAAGTGAGCTTAACACATTTTCACAGGATTTTTTCTAAAAAGTTATTTTAAAAATTACAGTTTATTTTTCTTTTTTTGGACACGTTTAAACTTCATACTGCGACTGCTTTTTCAAAACGAATTTTAGAAAAATGATAATATTTTGTATTTAAAAAAAAAATTTTAAATGAAGCTTCCGTGTACACTTTAAAACACTATCTGACATCTTTAAAAATGGGATTTGGGCAACAGTTTTTCTTTCTTATTGTTGTTGATAGATTTTTGATGAAATCGCATCATTTTAATTAGTTTCATTCTTTTAGAAATATGGGTTTAGCAACAATTTTTCATCGTATTTCTTATGTCACTATTTTTATGACATTGGCATATTTCATTGTCATTTTTATTTATTTTATTTTATTTTATTTTATTTATTTATTTATTTATTTTGATAAAGTTGTTCTGCAGAGTAAAATTCTATGCAGAATTTTTTTGTTTTTTGAGTTTTTTTTTTTTTTTTTTTTTTTTTTTTTTTTCCCCTGCTAAATCAAGTGTATATGTTTTTCTGGAGATACATCAGGGCCATATGCAAGGGAGGGTTGGAATCTTAACCAAAAGAAAAAAGTTGGAAGAACTTACGCGGCCATCGATCCCATGTGTGTCTTTTAAGTATTTTTCCGGTATGTTTAAAAGCCAGACAAAGGCTGACCGCATCGGCTAGTATTATAAATAAGGTCCCGAAAATGTTAAAAAGGTCCCTTTGGCATAATTTAAAATCTGAAACCTTTCATTTTTTTTTTTTTTTTATTTTATTTTTTAGTTTTTTAGCATTTAATGTTTCTTGATAAATTTTCTTGTATAAAACTTTCAGATGGTGGTTGTGATTTTGGTTTCCGGAATACATGTGAAAGTAGTAAACATCTTTGCTTACCAAGGTAATGAATACTGTGAAATTTAAGTTCAAGATAATTATGAGAGAAAATTCCTACGTGTACTTCTGTATATCTAAAATGTTTATGAATAAATTACTGGTAATTATTAAGCTAGGGAGGAAATATGCAAAGAAATCCAATATTTAAAATCAATGCCAAATTAAGGTTTTTTTTTTTTTTTTTTTTTTTTTTTTTTTTTTTTTTATGTTAAGTTTTAGATATGTCAAGTTTTTATTAATTTAACTCCTGTTAATTTCAAATGTTCTGAGGGTCATTTTTGAATCCATGTAAAGTATGAAAGAAGACAAAAGGAACAAAAGATGGTAGCAAACTTCAATGAAAGTTATTTTTTTGGGCAAAGTGATACAAATTATGAAAAAATTTTGTCTCAAAAAATCATACTTTCAATTGAGACAAAATTCAACTAAGAAGAAAAGGATGGTGCATGACTTTTGCTAAAAACGTATTTTTTCACTTTGTGTCTTCATATTGAAAATAATAAACAATGTTTATTTACAGTATCTAAGAATTTCCCTGCTTAAAGGTTTTCTTATTTTCGTGATCCATTGAAAAATGATAGGCATGTATATTAATTTTCGTACACATAACAACAATGAACAATTCAATACAAGAAACATAAAGATAGATAATTAGATGGGAGAAAAGTACAAGGGCACAAATAATTAGGGTAATTCCAGTTGATTAAAATTGGGTGCTTTACTTCAGTTCCCTCAGTTTATTATTTTATTTTAAGTAATACCTGAAAAAGGTGCTGTTACAATTAAGTTTATTTTAACTAACAAGTTGGTTTTTAATTTGTGTCTTTACTATCATTTCTTACTTAGTCATGCAGCTTGTTCTGTCCAGATGTAGATTTCTGAGACGAGAGTAAGAGTATAAGTAGGTTAACTGAAACTGAAGTGTGTCAGTACAAGTCTGGGCTTAGATGTGGCAGAGTGAGCTAGAGGATGGAGTTGCAAGCAGTTAGTGGATGTTGCTGTTTAATCTTGTAGCAACCAGAGAAGTCTATCCAAGTGGTAAGCTGCAGCTGAATTGTGAAATTATTCGATATTCCAGTTTCATCCCGAAGCTAATGCATAGTCAAGAGGACTGTTACCTCTGCTATCATTTCATGTCAATTCTCAAGTACAGACATATTAAAATTTAAATTTTTTTGTGTTTTTGTCTGCATGAACCTTAAAACTTCACTTCCTTCACAAATAATTAGAATTCACAGAGATACCTGTAAAATTAAAAACCCAATCACTCTCAAAATCTAACACATCATACTGGTACTCAACATTTCGTGAATTTGTGGGAAATGTGTACCAGCGGTAATGTAAAATTTTGTTAAGCTGTGAAGAAAAATTTAATAGTGACATAATGTTTTGAAACTACTGTTAAGATATAGTGAAATAATTGTATGTAAAAATTTGTACTATATTTTTAGGGTTATAAGGTATTTTTTCCCTCCTTCCAGCACACCTTTGTGGTGTTACGGTAGCACATTTGGCATGTATTTGAGAGGTCCAGGTTTGAGTCTTGAGGAGGGCATTGCACATTTCTCATGTCTCCAGCTTTAAAATAACCTAATATCTGTACAGTGGTGCCCGATTTAAAAGGTGATGGACAATCCCCCTTTAAAAGGGGAGTATATAAGGTATTTTTCCCTTCTTTCAGCATGCCTTCATGTTGTGATGGCGTGTATATATACTTGGCGTGTATATGAGAAGTCCATATTTGAGTCGTGGCAGGTTAATTGCTAATTTTTCACGTCTTCTACTACAGAAAAGAAATCCTAATGATTCTACAAGGTATTTTGTAAAATCATTAGGATTTCTTTTCTGTAGTAGGTATTTTGTATTGATTGATAAAATGGCTGATAGGACAAATGAAACAGGAATAGTGAAAAGAAATCTGTTAATTCCAGTTAGATTTGATCCTAGGCCAACGACCAACTTGTTAGAAGGTTTTGGTAAATTACTAGACATTTTCAGAGGAACTGTAAAGCCAAATGTAAGGTTTGATGGGTCGGGATAGGTTATACATTTTTCTGAAAAGTTACTACTATATTGAATGCTTTATCTCCAAAACACATCAGTTGCAGGATCAGCCCTAAAAGGCCAACTGTTAGGTTGGTATAAGTATATTGATAAAACCTTAGTTGGTCCTGTTGCATACATACCAGCACATACATATGAAAATTTTAAACAGACCATGTTAAAAGCATTTCCACCCTTGCATAAAAAAAAGTATAAAATTAGAAAATGAATTGTAAATTTCAAATGGAGGCCAAAGAACTGACAAAATTTATTGCAAGAAAGATTAAAGTTTGTAGATTGTTATACTCTGATGAGGAGGAAAATAAAATTCTGGAAATTGTGATCCCAAAATTGTTATCTAAAGTTCAAGATTTTATTGAAATTAAAAATCCAAACTCATTAAATAATTCATTAACTCATTAATAATTTTTAAGTACGAAAGTTGAAGAGGAATACTGACTAAACAGAGGAACTTTCTCCTGTAGTCTTTGTCAGAGGAACAAAAAGCAGTTTAGGAAGTTCCCCATTAATGTTCAAAGCAACAGTATTTGCCAAAAAAAAAAAAAAAAAAAAAGAAAAGGAATAGTATGTTGATTAGAGGTTGTACACCCATAGATTCCAAAAAATTCCCTAAGATTGGAGTAAATAGGATTGTAGTGAAAAATATAGAACTTCCTTATTTACAAATCCTTATTCTCCTCTTTTTCCTTATTTACGAATATTGTTGAATGATGTACCGGCTAAAATATTAAATGATTCAGAAAGTCAGAAAAGGTTTGTGTCCTTGATTTTTCTGTATTTTTGAAAGCACAGTTTCTTTAAAGGATAACAATGAAGATGGTTGCCACTCAAGGTGCAGAATGCAATTTATACTTATATAAGTATAAATCAGATTTTAATTGGTTATTAAAATAACCTAAATTTCTTTCATTGATTATATATATACAGTACAAAGTCCGTAATCCGGACTCGTCAGGACTTTGGCGATTCCAGATAAGGGGTTTTTCCAGATTATAGATCATCATTTTAAATCTTGTAAGATGGCATGCAGAAATTATACAATTAAAAATTTGAAACCATAATTTATGAAATAAAGAGCAATTATGATATAAAGGGTTATCAAAATTTACAAAAAAAAAAAAAAAAAAAAAAGCTTAATATTTATTTGTTTACTTTATTAAACATTCTTTCAATGTAAGTTGTTTAAGTTGCTTCATTTTTTGCTATACTTTCTCTTTATTCTATAAACTATCTATTTCTTGTTCAGTACAAGTTCCACTATCGGGAGCAGTTTTTCTAGAACCAGAATACATTCGCCGTTCATTAATTGATTGGGGCATTGTCATTGCAATGAAAAGCTTCTGTTATATCATCTTCATTTACTACCGCTTCTCCACATTTCTTTACAAAATCCAATAACTGGAAAATTCCACCTTTAGTTTGCGATGTCCGAAAACCTTCAAATTCGCTGCTATAATCTTCATCGTCCTCACAATGAAATATGGCAGCTGGCCATAAATTATGCCAAGCATTTTTTAAAGTATCTGAAGACAAAGCTGCTTGAATACATACAGCTTTTGCATGTGCATGCTTAAATGCGCATGCGTAAAGCATACCAAAAAAAAAGTTTGTTGCTTTGAGGTCCGGATTATAGATCATTCTGGATAATGGACGTCCAAATTACAGACTTTATACTATATATGTATATAAACATTCAAAATATACACAATTCTTTAGATGCATAATCTGAACAAAACATCATCACGGATACAATAGGCACCTCACGTTTTTAAAAGCTTTATACATCTTCAGATATTTGACGATACAGGGAAGCAAGTGGTGTGTATTAGCAGGAGTGAAGGAAAAGTAAGGCTTTCAGAAGAAAGCATATGAGAGAGAGAAAGAGTCAAAAATTTCTAGTTTCAACTGAAATCTTTTATCTGATTAGATATAACATGGATGCATTGCTGCATTGCATGTTATAATATGTTATAGGTAAGAAAGCATGATGCAGATTAATTTTGAAATGATGCACTTTAGGTTGGTATATTATTAACAGTTACTATTTTTAAGACAGAGAGGGGAAATTTTCGAATTACAGTGAAGAATATAGGGGCTATTGCAAAATTAAAGTTGGTAGTTTGTTTTCATATTTCATATCGTGTACAGGGTGTTTCTTCAGCACAGCAGTTACAAACTTTCTGGATAGATAGAGTACACCTTCTTCTTATGCTATACAGCCATTTTCCGGCCAAGGCTGTCTCTATTAGCTTCTGCCATCTTGCCGCATCCAATGCCACAGTCCTCCACCTATTGACACCAACATTCTTGAACCACTTTTCCACATTGTCTAGCTACCTTGTCTGTGGTCTTCCTCCTACTCTTTCTTTCTGGCTTTTGGAATGTCAGTTTCTTCACTGGATTTCCATCTCTATATCTGTATATACAGTCTAGCCATCTTAGGTGAGAGGCTTTTAATAACTTTTATTATGTTTGGTTTTCTAAATTTTTGCTGTAGGTCATTCCAATTTTCCCTTATTGCTCCAAAAATTCTTCTCAGAATTCGTACAAATATCATTATTCTATCCTCATTTGCTTTATTCATTGTCAGCACTCACTTCCATACAACATTACAGGTCTTACTAAGATCTTATGCAACTGTATTTTAGTTTTATTGCTTAAGTATTTTGATTTAAACTGGTTTTGAATCCATAATAGCATGTTAATTCGGTACTTGATTTCAACAGTTATATTATTATTTACAATTGTACACAAATATTTAAATTGTTCAACTTGCTCAAAAACATAGTCATTTATTTTCAGTGGCATCAGATTATATCTTCTATTTGTAACTGTCATGAACTTGGTTTTTATTTCATTGACCGTCAAACAAATACTTTTGCTGCCAACTCAAGCACACAAAAAAACCTCAACTATTGTCGCAATTGTTCTTTGCATGAT